AATAACACTCCAAATCCAGGCATGTTGAGCAAGACATGTCAAGGATTTAGGGAAGCTTTAAAAGAGAGAAACAAGGACAGAAAGGAGGATGTTCAGCATCTCTGCTTCCGCTCATACTGAAGAAGTGGCTGAACGTTTCTGTGCAAATTTTCAAAACAGACATATCACCTGTGTTTCCTGCTGACTTTGCAAATTATGTCATCAGCTCAGTTGTTGCCAAGCTACAAAAATAACACCGCAACGCATTCAAGGTGATCTCACACACGCCTTTCTCTATGCTGCATTTACAACTTCCCAGCGGTTCCAGTTGTTTAACTCTTCATTCATTTACTTGCTGATTTTAGACATTGTTTCCTTTTGTTGATTAGTCAGATATGTTGTTTACAAAGTTTACAAGATTAGTCCACAGAGTCTTCAGTTTAAAAAAAAACATTCAAACAACAAAAATATTTCAAAACTTGCGTTAATTTATAAGTTGTATCAGTTATATTTGATAATCAAAATGCAGCTCATCAACAAATAAATCCACTTTAGGTTTATTTAGTTTGTATTTTCCCAAAAAATAGATTCAAGTCACACTTCTGTTTTTATCGTATCAATAACGATGCTTACCCTGGACATCCGCTAGAGGGCGCCAAAGGAATAAAACCATCACCTGAACAGAAAACTTAAGGTTTTTCTCGCCAAGATATTTTGGTTTTCCCAATAGAGCAACACGTGTGAATTGTTTTTTTCTTTGAATATTGATGGCGAAAGAAAGATACGCATGTGCAAAGTTGTCCTTCGTGGACCTCCTTGTCCACAGATTTAAATCACATGCTGTTCTTTGCTATCAATGACCATGACAAACTAATAGTAAACAAACTGGCCAAATGGTTTAATTCTAAAGTTTAAACGATCAAATCTGTTCTAATAAGTGACAATTTTACACAATTTAGAAGTGCCCAGCCAACGGTTCTTTTTGAGAAGATCATGTAGGTCAAAAATAAATGCATTTCAAATTTGTCAAATAAGAAAGATGTGTTTAAAAAATACAAAAAAAAAGTGGGGCGGGTGGGCTGAAACTGTTGAAACACTGCTGGGATTTTATCTGGCAGCATGTCCAGACACAATACAGAGTAAAATCTTTGTTTCTCTTCCTGAACATTGCTGTATCATGTACTGTCTGCACAAGCTGTACTTGTAAAATCTTTGTTCAGGATGCGGTTCACAGACATGCTCCCACAGAAGAAGTGGGATTCAGAACAAATTGGATGATTTAACAACCATGTTTAAATAAAGGCACATTGTGCTACTGATAAACGGCTTAAATAAGCATAGGTGTATCAAATATTAATCTAACTTCCTCTAATCCAAACTGAAAACAGTGAGATGGAGGCATCCTTAGCTAAATGTAGTGACTCTATGCCCTAATATTGACTCATTCTTTTCCAGGAAATTCATTTATTTTATCGCCATAAGAAGTTGTAGCTGTAGAATTTTTCAATGCAAACACAGTTTGCATGTTCCCGCAACATAAATATTAAAAGACACATATCCAGGCTAAATGGGCCTCAGTGATAACTGTGAATTAACTACTATATGCTGGTATTACTTTGAGATGTTGTCCTGCTTTAGAAAAAAGATGATCACTGTAGTGAAGGGAACCCAATGTGTCAACATTTTACAACTTTTTGACGGCTATGACTTATAGCTTATTTAGTTTTTTTCTTCTGTCCTTATCTACACTTGGTTGATGCTGGATGACCACTCTGATAAATGGTTTTTTCGTCCATTTTTCCTGCTTGGAGATGAAAACACCTTTTTCACTGTTCATCTTTTGTTTTAAGTCCTTCAGGCTGTCTTCTGCAGATCCAGCAAAAAACATGGGATTGCTGCACTACACGTCAACTTTCCTTTTTAATCTTTGTGATGATCCAGTTCAGTTTTTTTATCATAATCTTATAGGATGTTATCTTTAATAAATCAGATTTCATCTGACCTTGTTTCTGGTCATTATAGTGCCTAATGTTCAAATCATGGTATGTACGTTTTTTTTCCCATCATTATGTTTTTATGCTTTTGATGCTCAACCTAAATGTCAACATTTTTCTCTTTCTTAAATGTATTAAAAAAGGAAATCCTTCCCTGTCCTCTGAGAACAATGGAGGAATGTTAACAAACCATCTGCAGTGGATTGGCTCTGACTGAGGCCTCAGACCGTAATCTGGACTGGACTGTTCCAGTCAGTTTGAGGCAGCTGTGGAGTCAAACGCGGTGCTTCTTCCCACACGGAGGCCTAATCATTACCACATCCCGATCGATCCTTCTGTTTGAAGACAGTCGCTGAGGCAGCTGAGCTGTTGCACAATTAGGCAGCTGTTCAAACAAGCAATCCATCCGCACAACTACACGGGCAGAGACTCGAATTGTGCACCACCGGACAGCTAAACGGCTAACCAATCATGGTAGGTGAGCCCCGTCCTGACGCATAGCTGCCTGTCGCCGGACGTTGGACAGACGTCAGACTGCACCGTTAAGTGACTCCGACATGATGCAATACATTTGGAAAGTGACAGTTTAGACACCAAATGATAGAAACTCTTGCTTTTTAAAGTAATCCACTCACCTTGAGTAAGGAAAGCTTGATAAATCAATATACACATTGTTCATAAGAATGAGCTCTTTTAAAGTTCAAGAGTGAAGAAGCTTTCACTAAATGCCTCAAAAGTACTCTGTGAAAGTGGCTATCTCTTTAATTGTGACTACAGTAAGATTAAGTGGATATAATCATTACTGGGCTTTATCTCTCTTTGTTTCTATTCATAGCAAGGTTTACGTCATATATGAAGCAACATTTCTTCTTTTGACACATCAGCCCTGTTAATATTTACACACATGAAGGTGTTAACGCAGTAGCACATTCAGTTCAAACAGTGGTACCATTTATCAACCAGGTGAACGCATCCCAGGTTCACAGGTTAGTGTTATCCACAGTGGCCTACTTTATTCAAGTGAACGTGTGATATAACCAGTGGGGTGTGACTAAGCGCACACACACCCCCTCTGCACTCAATGTCCAAAAGTTTTTAGGTTTTGACCATTTCATGCTTTCTTAATTAATCTTGTTTAGAAGACAACTGCAGCCATGTGAACTTTTTTCAAGATAGTTTTAATTCCAACGTGTCACCTATGATGATAATGGATCCTGTGGACCTAAGCAGCTATTTAAATTGTGTATATTTGATCTCAGATTAACAAAAAGATACTGCATAGTGCGTCATTACTGATATAATAAAAGCCAGTCCAACATTCAGTCTGAGGTGTGACTATCCACAGCATTTTGGATAAACGTATGGACTTTGACACCTTGATTCTTCCCTTTTTCAGCCCTTCTGACACAGATAAACTGCACAGTGTTAAGGATCCCTGATAGCTATTTCACCCAAGCTCTAGGTGTTGGACAGATGGCTTCAATGTTCACTCATTTGGTGGAATGCATCCTGTTAAAGCTGCAAAAAACTCCAAAACACCAAAAAACTCAGATATTGGTGCTGAGACGCTGTACTTGCTTTTGTCTAAAGGGGGTGCTGTTCACTAACAGTAGTTTGCATGTTCTCCCTGTGTCTGCGTGGGTTCTCTCTGGGTTCTCCGGCTTCCTCCCACCGTCCAAGAATCTGCATGCTAGGTTGGTTGGACATTCCAAATTGCCCTTAGGAGTGAGTGTGATTGTTCGTCTTTGTGTGTCTATATTTTTGGCCCAGCGATGGACTGGGGGACCGTCCAGGGTCCTTTGACTACTGGGATACATTCCAGTCACTTTGTGACCCCGTTCGGGAATAAGCAGTCCAGAAAATAGAGGGATGGACCTTACATTTTTATTAAAAAAACTAAACTAAAGTGTTTGAGGAAAATGCTTCATGCTTTTAGAATATTCTCATCCTTTTAGTGTAATTTCACATTGATGTTTCAGTGATTCACAGGTGTGGACTGTGTGCCGCTCAGTTCAGCATTGTGACTCCACGGAGGACTTTATGGAGGCATTATTTTATAATCACTTTCAAAAGTGGTAAGGTGTTATTTTAAATCACCCTTACCAAAAGAGGATTGAATATGTTGCTCCAAAGCCTGTTTGCACTGATCAGCATGAATTAAGTCCATCCATCCATTTTTGTAATCACTTATTCCCTATTGGGGTCGCAGAGGGAACTGGAGCCTATCCCAGTAGTCAATGGGCGAGAGGCAGGGTCACCCTGGACGGCCCCCAGTCCATCACAGGGTCACACAGAGACACGCAAGGACAAACAACCACATACACTCACACTAAGGGAAATTTAGAATATCCAATCAACCTAACATGCAGGTTTTTGGACTGTGGGAGAAATCCGGAAAACCCGGAGAGAACCCACACTGACCATGGAGAACATGCAGACCCCATCCAGAAAGGTCCTGGTTCCCCAGGGCCTCAAACCAAGAACCCTCTTAAGTTAAGTCTTTCTAATATTTTATAGTTTCCATTATCCATGCAAAAAGATGGATAGTAAAACATGAAATATATTTTTTCCATAGTTATTTTGACAACTAAATGTTGGTTCTGTCCAAGGCATCTGTGAGGCACAACAACACTGTCAATTTTAGAATGAAAATATGTATTTAAGGAAAAATCGATATCTGAGATTATTAATTTATTCATGTGGTCAATATTGACCACATGTGGAGTTTGATGTTTCGGCAGCATTTTACACCCTGTTCCGGCTCTCTCAGAAACAGGTTTGTGTAATTGTCCTTTGCCTTGAAAGGCATTATGCCCAACACAATTGGCCCCTTGCATTTTATTAGGAGGGTATATAAAACTGATAAATATCTAAAACGTTGACAGATGCCAAGTGCAACATGTCGTGTTACCTGAGTGGAGCATGTCATTGTCTGTATGAATTAATTCCATTAATTGCAACATCTGCCTTTAAGTTTATTTTTGAAATAATTCAAATATTAAGAATGAAATATAGACACAGCACCAATGAGATGCAAATATTTTTAATCAAATTAGCTGACATTGCATAATACAAAACATCTTTGCATTCCTCTGTTTAGCCACAACTTCCCTCGAATTCATTGTTTCAGAAGTGATTATCAAGGCAGTCTCGTCCCACTCTAAAGGCAGCAAAGGGATTATATAACAAAAATCTCCACATTAAAACATTCATTCTTAAAGCATGTTCGCTTTCCACATAAAAGCAACCATGACATTCAGTGAGCATGACTATTAGCAAGTAACTGGACCAGATATGCAACAGGAAAACAGCAGAGGCAAAAGGTGTACAATATCCGATATGGCCCACATACTTTTTGAGTAAATATATAAAAACACTAATGGTTGGGAAATCCAATAAAGACTAGTAAAAATGTAAACAGAACATTTTTCCTGTTGAATTAATTGAAATCTTTACAAAATAAAAAACTAGAGATAAGAAGATTGAATTGTTCCATGACCTACATAAAAAATTGAAAATAAGTCCTAAGATAAAAAAAATTGGGAAAAATGTAAAATTGTGTATTTGAAGGGTGCTTTCCATTATGCTAGCATTTTCTCCCCACTTCCCACACAGATGTGGACTTCTCTTAGCTCCTCTCAGCGAGGTCTTAAGACAGAGATGTAAAGGAATCATACATCTCTCAAAGGTATTTGTGTGTTCAGGCTGCATGTACTGGATTGGAGGATCCTCCATGACGGCAGAAGGGATCACAAAGAATTTGAAACAGCAGATGCAAGTATAGTGAAAAGCACCCAGAGGAGGAAGCGTCATGCCTCCTGTGCCCTAAATTGATGGCATTCGCATACCAAATTGTACCTTGTCCTCAAAGCTCTGGCTTTTAGATGAGTAAGCCACAAACACTAAAGCTTCACAACAGGCCAGGCCAGAAATGCAGTTAATATTGAGAATACTGACAGAGGTAAAGTGATGATCATTACTTTATACTGAGCACATTTTTGTCCCTGATAAAAAAAAAAAAAAGCTGTCTGCAAAGGCACTCCGTTGTACAGCAATGTCAAATCAAAATCATGTATCAAAGTGAAATTAACACCTAAAGACGCAGTCCAGAAAAGGGCACCGGTGTCCCGACATAAAAATCAATCTGTGTCACACAGGCTGTTAAGAAACACACATTTGAAGGGCAAGTTCTTCAAAAATTGGGGCTGAAAATTACACACAGTAGATCTTTTTTTTCTTTCTTTTTTTTTTTTTTCCACCCTTGCTGGGTTTAAAAATTGTTAATGTATTAAGACTAAAGATTCCAGACTGTGGCTTTAGTATCCAAAGCTCAATAAAAACTGGCCATTTCTGACAAGGCTAGTGGAAGTAGGACTGAAGGGTACCGCGGCGGCGGACATCGGTCGTCCAGCAGTGGAAGCCCCCCCCCAGGGAGTTGGCATGACGAATGTTCACCTTAATGGTCTTGATACCTGCACAGAACGGATACGAATATATATGAATACGCATTTTCACGTTAGAAATACTTATGCGTCCTCTCGAAAACACATTCAGATGAAAGAAAACCAGATTGAATGGCTTCCACATCGGCACTCACCGAGGTTCTCAAACATTTTCTGAATGGTGCTTTCATTGCCGTCCACCATGACGCGTTTCTCATCCAGCATCAGAACGTTCATGGACAGCCATTTGGAGGACATCCACAGTGGGTGGTCTGCACACGACCGGCATTATGAGCACATCTTTGTGATACTTATTTATTTTTCCAAATGTAAATCATAGTAGAGGTACCCACCATCAGGAATCAAAGGTGTTGGAGGTTTCACAACGGTCCAGCCGGCCCTCTTGAACATGTCGATCTGGAGTCACAGAGGGTGGAGGTGAGTCTGGTGCCCTCGCCTGGTGGAGTTTGTGGTGAACTCCAGCAGAGGGCGGCACATGGTTCTGACTGACTTTACCTGGCGACAGGGACGGTCGGGGTTGGACAGCACCAGCCCGGGGCCGATGATGTTAAAGGTTGCGTCGATGTGCATGGGGTTGGGATCCTTGAAGGAGATGACGTGGACCTTGTAATCCGGGGCCAGATGCCGGCGCATCCACTCGATTCCCATGTAATTTGTAACCTAGAACAGAACGGCGCGCGGTGAGAGGCCTGAGGGGAACCTACGCGAGCTGCGATCCGACCTGAGAGCGCGCTTTATACCTGACTCCTTTGGACAAACAGGTCCCTCCCAGCTCGGATAAAATCAGCAGCGTCGAAGCAGGGCTCGTGCTCGGTGGTCACAAACTTCCCCTCGGCGGCCAGCTTGTGCCTGTCCTCCACCGTGCGGATGGGGTAGTCCTGGGGGACAAAATCTGTTTAGTGTTAAGCAACAAACTCGTTCTGTCTCTTCCCATGCAGGAGAAACACAAAGGAAATGGGGGACAATGTCAGTAGTGAAATTGAGAACCTGAACTGGGTGTTTAAAAACCCCAATCTGGCTCACAGGACCTCACCTGATCATACAGCTCATCGGCCATGGTGGGTTTAGGGGCTGTGGTCCATTTGGCGCCCTTTCTGAAGTACTCCTTGATCAAAGGTCTGTAGGCACGGTACTCAAAGAAACGAGACCTCCAAGCCATGGGAGCCTCAATGATTTCATTTCCCACAACCATAAGGATGTCTCTGGGCATGGCCGCATACATACCTGAGGGAGATTCAACAAGGAATCTAGTCAGAAAAAAAAGACTAGGTTTGGACTTCATAACAGAATTGAAAGGCTGATGCATTTTACCGGTTGATGCGAAATCTGGAGTTTTGTATTCCAGGGACCAGTCGATTGGCTCCGGCCTCCTCACGACGACGCCCTCCTGACGCAGAATATTGCACATTTCCTCAATCTCAGCAACAGCTTTTTTCAAGTGGTCCGCAGGGAAAGACTGGCCCCCGTGCTTCTGGTAGAAGGGCCAATACTTCTCGTACGTGTTGGCCTGCGGAGACGTGTCAGAGTTTATGATGGGGCCGCAGAAAACAGCTGCCACAGGAGTTAACATTTTGCACATCTGCAAGCCGGACGCGAGCAGAACGAGGGGGGCTTACTTTGACTTCCACCGTGAAGGGAGGCACTTGGGCGTTTTCGGCTCGACCCACGATCACCTCCTCCAGCGGGTCCCATTCATTGTGGCTACAGACAGGACATTCCTGCTGAGCGGGCTCAGTAACATGCTCGTCTTCAGCCGCACGCTGAGGCTGGGCAGCTGCTGCACTGGAGGTGCTCTGGAAGGCCCTCTGCACCCAGCCCGCGGCTGACCGGCCCAGCTGGGGAGGGAGGACATGGATCAGCTTTGTAGGAATAAACTATATTGCAAATATTTTGCGGAACAACACAAAACAAAGCAAAAAGAAGCTTCTCTCCTTTTACTGTTTCAGTAAATAGAAATCCCTAAAAGCATGTGCTAATATATTTTTTGTTTCTTTATTGTTTATCCTGTTAGAGGAACTCTAAACCGCACATGATTGTGGTCAAGGCAGTTTGGACCTGGAGCTCCAGAGGCTTTTTTTTTCTCCAAATAAATGGAAACTGATAAGACACACGCAGTCCTCAGAGCTCAATCAGAAATGCCTTCAATGAAATAGATTGGTCTAGAGCCAAAGTACACGTGTTATTAGGCAGCCTTATCTCCACAGATAGCCCTTACAGTTGGGTCTCTGTTGGCTCAGGATCAGCTCCGGTGTCACAGAGTTTGCGAGCAGCATCTGTGCCAAACAGCTGTTGGCTGTCACTCAGGGACCCACGGTAAAAAAAAAAAATAAAAAAAAAAACTCAGCATTTAGGAAAATCAGATCCCCCCCCCTGAGACGGAGCTTTGTTTCAGGTAATCCGTGTAAATAAGATTAGTTTTTTTTTTTTTACCCAACTAAACCCGGTTTTTCTTTGCCTTTTTTTTTCCCTCCATTTTTTTTTTTGACTCAGAAAAACTATTGAAATTGAATTGAAGTGATCCCGAGTGAATCATGCTCTGATGCATCCTATAGTGTAGAAAAAGTCGAACAAAACGTCTTTATTCACTTTATCTGACGTGTGTTTTTCTTCCTTTTTTTCTTTTTTAAGAGAGTGGAAAAAAAATACTATTCATTTTTGCGTTAAAAAAAATTGTGGGAAGAAAATAAATAAATAAAATTGACAGCATGAAACCACCACAATACCAACCATGGCTCCGATCAGATGGGCAGCCTCGGCCCCTCTGCTACCTCCTCTCAGACATCTTACTCGCAGCATTGTCCAAAGAAATAAATGAGTCCGCGCAGAGTCCCCCTCTCTCTGTTTCGCTCCTGATGGGGCGCGCCTCCTCTCCCGGCCGCCTTTATAGCGCCGGGGATACGTGTCTCTGACACCATTGGCCGCTTCCATGTTGTGAGGCAACGTGACTTAAGGAAAAGCATTTCTGAAACACAATCCCTGACGCCAGCGAATTCTTATCGAACTGAGCCACCATCGTCAAACGATTCTCAAGGACATTTTTTTCAAATATATGAAGATATTCATACTAATGTTTTCCCAAGCCTTTAAAAAAAAAAATCTTTTTGGATCCTAAATGAATGAATTCACTGAATTCATGAACAATTTACATGCATCTCACTAAGAATGCAAACAAGAGAGACTTGGCGACTGAATTAGTTTATTCACCATCCAAGGCTAAACAAAAATCCATAAGGATTTCTTTTTTTAACAATGGCAGATTGATCAAATCTATATAATCTATACAGAAAATACACACTTCCAAAGATAACAGCTGCTTGTAAAGAAAGTTCAGAAACCTAACTGCCATCTCGTTCTGCACACTAAGTTGCAGATCTTAAGATCTGTTTTGAATTCTGGGTTTATTTAACTATATGTAAAGTTATGAGTCTATTTGGGGGACAGTGTGGAACCCAGAGAAGCTTGAACAGGGACTTGATATAATCAAAGAGATATAGAGACAAGTTCTGCCTGGGACACCACATGCTTGCCTGGACTGTGCTCACAAGAGTTTCACAATCGCAGACCTCTGTGACCTCAGATTTTTCCTTGGCCTCTAAAAAAAAAAAAAAAAAAAAAAATCTTTGGCTAATGCCCAAGGTTCAAAGGACACGTATACCGAAGAAGCCTTCGGACAGCATCATCTCCAAGTCCAAAAATCACCCAAAACAAAAAATGTCAACAATCAACAAATTGTGTCCGTGTGTGTGTGTATGTGTATGTGTGTGTGTTTTTTTTCTTCTTCTTTTTTGTGGCATTTACTTTAACACCAGAGGCAGATAGTATATGACTGGTGTAATCAGTTCAGATATGGATGTGCTCACAGGTGTTTCACTGGAGACTACGTGATGTGAGTGCCATCACCCAGAGGGGATTTGGGATTGTGCAAACATGCCGGCAGAGCTGAACGTGCCAGCATCATTTGCATAAGCAGGCACTGTGGGAAGGTCTGTGACAGGAGCAGATCCCGAGCAGGGAAGTTTGAAGACCCAGAGAGGGCAGGTTCTATCCTGCCCGCTAGCTGGAATGTGTGGAGGTTAGCATTAAAGGGAGTGTTTGAAAAGGGGGTTGCAGGCACACAGCTGGATCTGGTCCAACAGCAGACGACATTAATGAAGGGAATTTAAAAAAAAAAGTTTTCTGTTTGACATTTCTTAGTTCGTTTGACTTGCCGTTGATCACTCGGCGAGCCGGTTATGTGTTCAGGGTGGGGTTCTTTCTAGCCCAGCCTAGCCCGGGGCAAGCTCCAACCCAAAAACCTTCACACGATCTAACGTATAGCTGAATTATTTGTCTTGCGTGTGTAGGCATTAGATATGTAATCATTACAGGATACTGAAATGGTTTAGATCGTTTTTGACTGCACACTGATTTGTTTTATTGGTTTGTATTGTGACAAATAAGGAACTTGATCCCTCAAAGCCCATTAGTTTGAGATGAGAATAGGTCTGTATGACCAAAGCTTACTCTCATGTTTTACATTTTTTCTGTCATTGGTTGGAAAACAGTGTTTCAGTGTTTAACATGTAAAAAATATACTGGAAATCTGAATGCCTACATAGAAAAATATAAATATTAGTGCCCTGGGATGTGTGACTTGTTGGATTCCACCGAATCTGCAAATAATTACTTTTATGTCATAACATCTTTTTCGCTTCAAGTCTTCTGATTCCTTTTTTAAAGACAAGAACAGAACAGAGCACGTTCAAACTAGAAGTACAAAACTAGAAAAGAGTGCCACCTGCAGGATTTGGACCTTCCAAATAGGCTGAGTTATTGTCACTGGACGTGTCACCCAAAACTAAGGCCTTTGTTTTCAGGAATGTGCTTTTTTAAGCTTTCTGTCCTTTGCTATTTGCACAAAAGCTTATTAGTGAATGCAAAAAATCTGTTTTTTGAAATCCTTAATCTAAATTTGAACACATCTGTCCTGCCCTTGTACACGGACTAACAGAGCTCAGGATCAAAGCTGAGCTGCCTGTTTATGAATCATACATCATTGTGTTAATTTAATTTGATCAATAGTTACTAATGACATTAACCTAAAATTCAGGAAAAGGTCTTTATGTGGAATCATTTAAGCATTTAGCATTTCTATGAGGTCATTTCTGACCCTAAACCATTTTGGACTGAGTATTTGCTGCAGATCAAAAAAAACAAAAAAAGGAATTAGCAACCCCCCTGTGGTGAACTTAATAATGTGAGGAATTTGAGTTTTTATTTACGTGTCTCTTTAATCCTTTCTGCCAACACCCTAATTCCCTCCCCCTGTCATGCTGGCCAAAGTAACTTCTCCTTTCTCACCTCTAAGCACAAGTTTTTCTTTTCATCTGACCACCACAACTGTACTTAAACCTACTTTTTCTCCCCAAAGTGCTACTGTCAGAGAAGACCCGCCTGCTTTGGTTTGGATTTTAAATAAATGAGTTAGAATAATTGGATGTTTTGAGGCAAACCTTTTTTTTTCAAGTTTTCCCCTCTGTTTAACCTTTTTTATAGTGGGTGGACCCTTAATTGTGGATTGGACTCATTATTTCAACTCATACCATACCACAAACACGCACACGCACACGCACAACATATAGAGGGCCATTCCAGATAGTACTCTTTGTTAGATGATAAACTTCTTTCTTTACATTGAATGCACCAAATCCAGACTGAGTAAAACCTGTGTGTGTGTTTTCTGAGAGAATGACTCTAATTAGGTTATCTTAAACACGACCCTATTGGAACTTGTAACATGTCGAGTTTGTTTTGAGGAAGTACAGATCAGCTTTTCCTAGCTTTCCAGATTATTCGCATATTCTCCCCATTTCGTGGAACTTCACAGGCTTTTGGGCGAAATGCTCCGCCCCACAGCACAAAACCCTTATTTTCCCCCATTCCCCATTTTTTCTGCAGGAACTACACATATACTTTTTTTTTTTTTTTTTACGGGACTTTTGGAAGTGAGTTGACCATGGAGTTGTTGGTCATTTCCATCCTTTTAGCCACCATTCTCATCACCCCGTTCGCTCTCAAAACTTTCTATCCATACGTTTGGGCGGACGTCCTTTATTTCGTGGATCTAATCCGGATTTTGGTGGTTTTCGTTGCGCGGCGCAGGAGGAAACCTCTGTTTTTCGTGCTGGACCGCTTCTTGGAGCAAGCCTCCGCGTCCCCGGACAAAGCGTTCGTGGTGTTTGGGGACGAAAGCTTCACGTACCGTTGCGCGGACAAAAAAAGCAACCGGGTCTCCAACGCGCTCCTGTCTGAGCCCGGGTACAGGGCCGGGGACACCGTGGCCCTTTTCATGGGGAACGAACCCGCCTTCGTCTTCACCTGGCTCGCTTTGGCCAAACTGGGCTCTCCGGTGGCTTTTCTAAATTCCAACATCCGGGCCAAATCTCTGCTGCACTGCTTTGGATGCTGCAGGGCAAAGGTGCTGATAGCAGCCGCGGGTATGCATGCTTGTACTTGCTTTAGAATAATTCTGGAAAGCTTAAAGTAGCCTTAAGGCCAATGAATCATTAGGAAATGTGTTTTTTTTCACTCAAATAATAAAGAATATTCCCTTTTTTCCACCTGGAGTGGGAATGACAGAGATTGCCAGATTGTAGTGTGCAGTCTGTCTAGATTAATCATCTTCAACCTGGTTGTTTTGAGCCTACTGATATCTTTTTTTTTCCTTCTGCAGAGCTGAGGGAAGCGGTGGAGGACGTACTGCCCCAGCTTTTGGAACAAGGCGTCACTGTGCTCCTCATGTCCCAACGCTGCAACACTCCGGGCATCCGGAGTTTCTGCAACACGGTGGAAAAGGCATCGGACGCCCCCCTGCCTCGATCCCATAGATCCCACGTCACGTTCAAAAGTCCCGCCGTTTACATTTACACCTCGGGAACCACCGGTAACCGGAGTGGCTTGCGTGTGTGTTTGTCTGGCAGTGGTCTGCTCCGGGGGGGAAAAGGTTTATAGACTTTGTCCCGCCCGGCCTCTCGCTGTATTTCAGGTCTTCCCAAGGCAGCAGTGGTCAACCAGAACCGCCTGTTGACGGCTTTGGCTGTTTTATCCTCCAACGGCGTGACGGCGGAAGATACCGTCTACGTTAACCTGCCCCTGTACCATACAGCGGGCTTTTTCGTGGGCTTTGTTGGCTCCATTGAAACTGGTGAGACGATGGAGAAGTGCTCACCCCGGCAGTGTTTGATTCACTTGGCTGTGTTTGTGTGTCAGATTTATCACAGATCGATGAATCCTGGGTTTGGTTTTGTAAATCAACGAAAATTTAAGAATAATAGCATCATCAAATGAAATAGCCTGACAGGAAAAAGTAGAAAACATGGTAACAAAGGCCCTGTGAGATGCAAAGAGGGTTGCAGAGGTGGTAAAGTCTGCTTGTCCTGCTTATAGGGAGGGATTGAAACTCTTAAGCTCACCAGCAGTGGCTGGTAACAAAATGTGAAAATGTTTGGTAAATTTCTTTTAATTTATTCTATTTTTTCACTCCCAGATCTGAGGAATAATGTTCGAATTATCTCTCATTACCTGAATATCGGGGCACAGTTTCCCCTAACATCCTGCTCCTCCTCTCTTTCTTGTTACCCTGCCCCGGTTCAGCCCGGGTGAAAGAGTCTTTTGTCAGCAGTAATCTGAACAGATCCTTTCTAGTGGCTTTTTCCCTAAATAGGCTAAAGTTCACACCGCTATTGTATATTTGTGTGAGCGCTCCCAGTTTCCACTCTTATTAGGAGATATTCAGTACAGCCCAGAACAGTCCCCGGTCTGTCCAGAGCCTGAATTCACTCATTGCAACACCAACAGCAAACGTGTTAACAAAGAGAAACAGAGCGTGAAAACACCAAAACCACACTGAAAGCATCACGTTTACACTTTTTGCTCTTTATTGTTTCTTAAGGGTCGACTATAGTTCTGAAGAAGAAGTTTTCTGCCTCTCAGTTCTGGGATGACTGCAGGAAATACAACGTGACGGTCATTCAGTACATAGGAGAGGTGATGCGATACCTTTGTAGCACACAGAAGGTGAGATGTGCTTCTTTCTGGTGGCCACATTCAAGCTATAACAAAATATAGCAATCTTATATAACCCGTACACATACAAACATATTACAGCTCACTCTGGAGACCAAATACATACATAATAGTATATAGTGATATGAGTGGTTTTTGAACATGTTACAGTTCAAACTAATCAAGTATCAATCCCTTAAGATGTCATGGAGTTGATGTCAGAGGTTCTTAAATTTAAGCCCTTAAAAATATATATATAACAGCTAGCAAGCTCCCCTGATATAAAGTTAGTTGCTATATCATATTCTCTAATTAAAAATATATTGATAATAGCGCATTGATTTAAACATATTCAGTAGCGTTTCAGTCTTTGTTTGTTTGTTTTCTACTTGACTAACTGAAAACCCAAACAAGCTCACATAAGATCTGTGGCAGGGACCTCCGGGATACCACGCCTCCTTCATGCCTATTTCATAACTACTGTAAAACCTCATCCCAAAGAAAGACAGCTGCAGAGGAGGGGTGCCACGAACCGGCTGTAGCAAGCTGCCATTGAGAGAGAACTTTCCAAATCTGTACATTCCCAAAGAGCGCCACAGCTGGCTAACCGAAATAGAAATCGTTAAATCTCATGTATCAGTTTCCGGTCTTTTGCTGAGAAGTCGGTTTGGGTTTTGAACTTAATCAAATTTAAATTTTTCCGAGAAAATGTCAAGTATCAACAGGAAAGCCTGTATCTTTAAATAAAGATTTCTTCGTATTTGGGGTTACTGTAAACATTTTGTACATATGTTCCATTCAGAGTATCTGATTGCATCACATGAAGTGCAGTCTCAATTTACCGCTTGACCCTGAGGAGATGGTTCTTCTTTATCTGGTCACCTCTAGGAATAGATGCTGGCCTTTACTTTAGAGGATCATATCAAGTAACTTGGCAACTAAATCTTCGTGTACTTTACGTACAGTAAAACGTGAGGGTCATGGTATTTTACGTGATCGGTACTTTGTTAAATTTAGGGGGGGTGGGTTCTTGTATAAGTGGGTTTTTAAATGTCAGGCTTGTACATGTTTTCAAGACTTGAGGAACTTGATCTGGAAGGTGTAAAATTTAGTTGGAAGCACAAAATATATACATTCAGATACATGCTTTAAGGTGAGCTGTTTACAATGTGCTTCATATGTATATTTTTGACACATGAAAGGAATTATTTCAGTTGGACCCTCACTACGCTTAACTTTTCTATTCACAATTTCGTATTCAAACAGAAAGACAATGACAAGGACCATAACGTGAGGCTGGCTATTGGAAATGGTGTCCGGGCAGAAGTATGGAGGGAATTTGTCAATCGCTTCGGTAACATCAAGATCCTGGAGTTTTACGCCTCCACTGAGGGAAACGTGGGATTCGTCAACTATGCCGGGAAAATTGGAGCTGTTGGACGAGTTAGCTTTTTGCATCGGGTAAGAGTGACCAGAACCTGTTAAAAAAATGTTGTAGACGAACTACTGTATATTCAGCTTGTTTGACGATATCACCTGAACATACTTGAAGGCAAATGTTTCTTATTTACTTGATTCTATAACTGGTAGTCGGTAAAACAAGACTTGATGCCTCGAAAAAGCTTGAAAGTGGAGTTTTAAGTTTAGTTATTTTTGCTGCTCATAAATTAGTTTCTAACATTTGTGTTTTTTAAATGTATAAGTAAACGTCCAGGGCAGATGTCCTGATAATGCCCTGTGCAGTAATTCAGGGCTCACATGGCCCAGATGCTGTCAAACCGCTCCACATCATGCTACCATCACCACCGTGTTTCACAACAGGGATCAAATTCTTACGCTCCAATGAAAGCATGACTACGCTTCACATATACTTTATTTATATTTATTTAGGGAGCAGCAGCTTCATTCTTCCATTATTTTCGTTACTGGAGAAGAATTAAGCTTTTTGGTAACTTTAGGTGCTTTCTTTGGAGCAATCTCTCGGTTAGTGACACTTGGGAAAAGGGAACCGTGTCCTTAATTTGCCCCAAATGTGTCTGATTGGATTTATAGCATTGTTTTCTAACCTGCTCAAACTGATGAACTTACTATTCTAGGATCCTCAGAAATAAAAAAAAATGTTGTCCCTCAAATTTTGTGATTATCAGAATCTGTTCGATCCTTGGATAATTGTACTCTCACTGATTGAAAATCTTTGAAGCAGATTTCACCCTCAAATTAAGACTTTCATATATTTTTTATTAATCTCTAATGGAAGTGTTTGACCATTTCTTGGATTCAAAAGTAGGTCAGAATCTTTCAAATGTGGTATGTAAAAGCATTGTATTATTCTAAGGTAATAAACATGTATTGGACCCAGTTTACAACGCGTGTATTTCCTCTGGTAGAAGCTGTTTCCCTACACTCTTGTAAAGTACGACACTGAACGGGACGAACCCATGCGAGATGCCAGCGGCCTCTGCATTGTGGCACCCAAAGGTGAAGAAGAACTAACTGTCTGTCTGAATGCCGGTTAGTCTGTCTCTCCTCTCTGAGAGGTCCCTGCTTAGCTTTTGTTTGCTTTTTCTTTTTAGGTGAAACAGGCCTGCTGGTGTCAAAGATCACAGACATTGCTCCATTTGTCGGCTACGCCCAAAACCAAGAGCAAACAGAGAGGAAGAAGCTCCGAAATGTCCTCAAAAAAGGAGATCTTTACTTCAACACCGGAGACCTGATGAGGATCGACAACGACAACTTCATTTACTTTCAGGATCGCGTAGGTGACACATTCAGGTACTGCTGGGATTTATGATTCAATGCTTAGATATCCACCAAAGCGTTTCATCACAAATAAGACTTTTTCCAAACACAAACAACATTCATACCACAGAAAAATATGTTTTTTTTTTCACCCAAAAAATACTTCACTGAAAGGAAATAGCATTCTGCACTTTGGTCTTTAATTAACGTGGTGTTGTTTAATATTCTGAACCTATTGGTGCAGTTCACCATTTTCTTTTCAACCTTTCTGGTGGAAAGGTTGCATTAGAAAAAAGACAATTACTTCATATTTTTTATCTGATTATGTTTTCCTGGGCCCATACAGACAGTTTAACCATGGAATGATTGGCTCTGACAGAAACGTAAATGCTTCAAACATACATGGAGTACAACGATACTCCCAGTCCAATGTTTGGACCAAAATACAGTAAATTTGGAGTTGTTACTTGTCTGAGTCCAAAGGTGGAAAGGTGAGAATGTCGCTACAACGGAGGTGTCTGACATCCTGGCGCTCATTGATTGTCTCCAAGAAGCCAACGTTTATGGAGTCCAAGTACCAGGTGAGGTGCATTATTTCTGCGAGCCTTAAATATGACTTTAAACAGCTGAAAATGCATTGATTTTTGGACCAATTAGCTAATATGTGTTCCTCTGTACCTTTTTTTCTTTAGGACATGAGGGACGGATAGGGATGGCGGCTGTCACTTTGAAGGAAAATGCCCAGTTTGATGGAAGTAAAATATTTAACCATGTGGCTAGCTATCTGCCCTCATATGCACGGCCTCGCTTCATAAGGGTGCAGGTACATTTATTTCACTCAGGCTGTGAAACTTATTGTAAACCTTTGCAGTTTATTTATGAAGAACCCATATGTTAATTTAAAAAAAAAAGGTTTTACCTTTTTAAAAGACTCCTGTCATCATGTGATCGGTGTGAATCGCTCTGGTTTTTATTTTCCTCTTGTCCAGACCGCTGTGGAAGTAACGGGGACTTTCAAGCAGATGAAGGTGAAGCTGGTGGCACAGGGTTTTGATCCGGGACATATCCAGGACCCGCTTTACATCCTGGATGATAATGTTAAGAGCTACATTCCACTGAGCGCTCAGCACTACAGCTCCATCCTATCAGGCAGCATGAAACTGTGAGCGGATTCATGAGCTGCACAACAACGCCTGTGTTGGCTTACCGAATAATGAATTTTCAGCTCAGGGACACAACAGTGTTTTTGATAATGATTTCACTTTATTTTTTAAAGTTACATACACTTTATGGGGGTTAGTGTAACATTCGTAGGTCCAGGGTATGTGTCGGAGACGTTCAGTTGCATCAGTATTACATTTACCAGTCAAAGATTATCTAAATACTATTCAGCTAATGTATCCGTGTTTCAGTGTAAGACTTTATCCTGTGTCTGATCTCTGTGATGACATGTGTTACTGTATGGTGAAAGTGAGCGGAACAATGAATAAAGCATTATATCTTTTATACCATGCTATATTCTTTATGTAAAGACAGAACTAGTTTTTGTGCCTCTGTCTTTTGTGATTTTGCTTTTCAAATATGAAGAGAATGTGACTTTAATCAGCAGGTGGAGCCAAATGCTCACATTTCCCATGTAGTGCGGGGAAAATTTACCAAGTGTTCTCAGTAATGACTATAAACGCCACAAACTTTATTCCACAAGATTAAAAAATCTACCCATTTGCTGTTATGCAACAGTGAAAAGATTACTGGCTTTGAGCAATAAGCCTGTGTTATTTTTCACTACAAACTGATATGGATATTTATTTTATTCAACCTCCATTTATTGAACAATATGACATAAAAATAAAGAGCTATGGGCACCGGTTAGTGTTAAAGGGTAGATCTTACATGTCATTTGAGAAAACCTTTGAATCAAATAAAATATGTTAAGTCTCTCAATAAAAATTGCATAATAATTTACAGTACCACAGTATGGCTTAGTACCATATAGATTCATTCTTTTTATTTTACAATCAGTTTACAGCTTTGGATGAGAGAAAAAAAGAGACTTGCAAGTTAATATTTGATTTTCTGATAGGAAATATGAGCAGTCTCACCTCCAGCCATATTCTTCAGGCGAAAAGAGCCTCCGGGTTTTTAATTCTTTTACAATGATTAGGATATAACTTTGATTTGTTTTACCAAAGTAGAATAAAATTGAAAGAAGAGTGTGTTCTGTTGTATTTTGTTTTCTGAAAGATTTATACAAATCCACTCTATTTAAATCAGAACTTTTCACTCCAATGATTGTACTTGCCAGAACACATTTGGCCCAATATCATTATCCTGTATACCAATTTACACAATCATGCTTTTGACTCTCAATTTGCAGTTCAACTGAAGTGCTTTGCATGAATTGAAATGTATTAAAGACAATAATAATGTTACCATGCAAAACCTTTTTCTCAACTATTATCATTATTAACCATCACTATCATTATGTTTAGCACAGATTTATGAGCTCAGACTACATGTCTCATAGAGTAATAATCTGATGAAGAGTGCGGACAGAGGGGGCCTCTTCTTCACAATCAGTGATAAGAGCCAATGAGCTGCGCCAAAATATACAAGTTATTAAAGTTCATCCGGAGTTAGTTCCAGTGGTAATAGGAGTCATGACCCACTTTTTTTTCTCTCTGAGTACCTTAAAAGTTTCTTTATCTGCTCAAATTGCAGAATATTGGGAACATAGGACCCGGGGACCATTATTTTTGCTGCTCTAAACAGCGAGTTCCACCCACAAAACCAAAGAGTTGTTCAAAGTTCAAGAGCCGTAAAGGGAATATATCCACCCACAGCCAAAGTAAGATGTCAGTAGTGTGAGGACTGAAACACTGCCCCTAACAATGATTGCATTGATTCTTTGTACCGTTTTGGCAATTTTGCCCATCTTGCTTTTCATGCGAAACCCCTATTTCTGGGGAGACCTCAACTACACGATCACCGCTTTGCGCATTGGAATACGCGTAAGCAAGCTCGGGAAAAAGTTTCGGAGTATTCTGGACAGCTTTCTGGACAAAGTGGCGAAGCACCCACACAAGACGTTCCTTATTTTCGAGGGAGCCTCCTACACTTACAGCCAGGCCGACAGGGAGAGTAACAAAGTGGCCCGGGCTCTGTCGACGCACGCCGGCCTGGAGCAGGGGGACACGGTGGCGCTTTTTCTGGGCAACGAGCCCCAGTACGTGTGGACTTGGCTGGCACTGGCCAAGCTGGGATGCGTAGCCGCTCTCCTGAACTATAACATAAGGTCCAAGTCCCTGCTGCACTGCTTCTCCTGCTGCGATGCCAAAGTCCTCATCGTTGGAGCTGGTAAGCTTTGGTAAAGAAGAAGGCACGGGCTGTATATGTCCAATCTATTCCACACAAGCTGCATGTTTTTTAAGAGTTTCTTTCTCTCTCTATGATTTCTGGAGAAGTCAGAAACTGAATTTGCTTGTTTGGACTTGCCTTCTACCTGAACTGTATTCTTTGAGTGTAACTTTAGGTGTTGCTTGCTGTCTGGTTTTTTAAAGCAAATCGGAAAAATGAATGAACTGGAATAACATCTGGAGAGGTGCAGATGTGGTTCATGTTACTGGTTGATTGCACGTGCCCAACAGATCCAAACGAATAGCGCCATAAAGCAATTAGTCTAAGCCGCCTGGAAGTCTTTTATTGTAGGTGCTCTGACCTTTTTCAAGGCCTTTTCACAAGCTCTCCTTTGCTTTTCTCTTTCAGACCTAAAAGCAGCCATAGAGGAGGTGTTGCCCAGCTTGAGGGAGCAGGGCATTCAGGTGTTTATCCTCAGCGACAGCTGTGATGTGGAGGGCATCAACAGCCTCTCCGACAAGGTCCAGCAGGCCTCGGACCGGCCTCTGTCCCCGGAGCTGCGGGACAAAATTCACTTAAAGAGTCCCGCTCTGTACATCTACACGTCAGGGACCACAGGTACTCTCACAGGCCCGTCTAACCTTGACCTGTAATCTTTGCCCACATTGTTTTGTGCGTCCTGCTCGTGGCGGCCTTGAGCTGTGGATGCAGGACTGTAAAAACACACACAATCATCTGCTTCTAATGGCAGCGCTATCTTTTAGGACTTCCCAAGGCAGCGGTGGTCAATCACGAGAGGGTATGGTTGGCGTCTTTTCTTCAGTCTATTGCCGGCGTCCGCTCTAAAGACGTCATCTACATCTACCTGCCCCTCTACCACACCGCCGGTTTTCTGATGGGGCTTTGTGGAGCCATAGACAACGGTAAGACGCGGAAAAACCCCCCAAAACAGATCCAGTTAAAGCTCAAATATGAGTTCCCATTCTGAATCATGACGATAACCAGGTGTATTTTAGGTTAAACCAACACACATGCGACCTCAAACAACAGGCAACCCGTCTCTGATTATCATTGTTTGTCTTTGGATGTACTAAAGTTCAGTCCGCAAAGGTCCCGACTCTCGTTGAACTCCCGCTCCGGTGAAGTTCGGCTCCTGAAATCTATGCGTCTGTCCCTCTAGGCTGCACGGTGGTCTTGAGACGTAAATTCTCTGCCTCCAACTTCTGGAACGAGTGCAGGAAGTACAACGTGACCGTCATTCAGTACATAGGAGAGGTCATGCGTTACCTGTGCAACACACCAAAGGTGAATGTCTGTTAGCCTTTTTTAAACCATGAGCAGTTTAAAACGGGTCATTTCTGTCAGATACACTGCTTGTAAAATGCCTTTATTTCTCAGTCTGTGTGGCTTTTCCCTTTTAGAGAGACAGTGATAAGGACCATAAAGTGCGACTGGCTATGGGGAACGGGATAAGGGCAGACACATGGGCTGAGTTCCTGCAGCGATTCGGGAACATTCGTATCTGCGAATGCTACGGAGCGACTGAAGGAAATGTCGGTTTTGTCAACTACATTGGAAAGATTGGAGCCATAGGCAGAGAGCATTTTCTGCACAAAGTGAGAAATCAAGCTCATCTGATCAGTATTTTACTGTTTCTATCATCACAATATCCATAATCATGCACAGATTACTCCATTATTGCATCTTGACTCTGTTTTTCAGATGTCCTATCCATATGCCCTAATAAGGTATGACACAGAGAAAGAGGAGCCCGTCAGAGACTCCAGAGGATTTTGCATTAAAGTCCCCAAAGGTGAGCCGTTCTCCTCAAAGCTTATTCCCGTCTATCATTTTTCAATGTCACCAGGAAAAACATGACCTGTTTTTGGCTTCCACTTGCAGGTGAGACTGGCCTGTTGGTAGGTAAGATCGGGAAAGCCTCTCCTTTCACAGGCTATGCCAAGAACAAGCAGCAGACCGAGAGGAAGAAGCTGAAAGACGTGTTTGAGAAGGGAGACCTGTACTTCAACAGCGGTGACCTCCTGAGGATCGACAGTGAGGGATTTGTCTACTTCCAGGACCGCATCGGAGACACTTTCAGGTCTGTGTATCAGGAAAAACTGTATTAAATTTGACAAATAACGTCAGTTTTTACATGAGTTCGAACAGCAAATTACATACCGTTCTCAGCAGTTCCCCTAAAGATAATTGTTGTCCTTGGCTTTCCACATATAATCATTTGGCTACATTGATTTTTAGGAATACAGCATCCCATCCTCTTGTCTTCTGTTCAACTTTTTGGGTCAAAAGATCCTCAGATAAGGCTAGCATTCAAGCAGAAGCCAGAAACCATGACAACATTTTCATTTAATAGCATTTGATTAGAAGCAGTTCAAAGCCAGAGGACCCAAAAGAAACAGATTATTATCATAATCCAGTTGATCTATTTTTTGTTATAATCTTTGAATAGAAAAGAGGCTACCTGTTTCAAAAGAGAACATAACAGCTGCTTAATGCATGTTTTCCGTCCATTTTGTCATCTCATGCAGGTGGAAAGGGGAAAATGTGGCAACTACAGAGGTGGCTGACAATTTGCTCTCACTGGACTTTGTTGAGGAAGCAAATGTCTATGGTGTGAAAGTACCAGGTAATTTTTCCATCATTAGGGATATTTCAGATTTATTAAGTGCATTTTCTTTTTTTTAAAGAATTTTTTGGCTCTAGTGGCCTTTAATGACAGTAGCTTGACAGGAAAGGGGGCAGAGACAGAGAGGGGGAGACCTGCGGGAAAGGGCCGTGAGCCAGATTCGAACTCACGGCCACCCGCTTGCGAGCACAGGCTCTGTATATGGGCCGCCCGCACTAGCCATTAGGCTACGGCTGCGGCCCAAGTGCATTTTCAATCATTGTTAGAAAGTGACAACAGTAAATCAGACATTTGATTCTCCTTTCTTTATTTTAAAGATGTGGAAACTATAATTTTAGTCGGATTTTGTACCAGTGTGAGTCTGTTCTTTGTGTTGATTATTAGGACATGAGGGAAGAATTGGAATGGCAGCACTAAAGCTGAAAGAAAACATGGAGTTTGATGGTAAAGCGACACTTCAACATGTTAAAAGCTACCTGCCCAGCTATGCCAGGCCGCGCTTCATTCGCATACAGGTAAACAAAGACTGGGTAATATTACAAATTTGTATAAGAAATTGTGTGACAATGTGACAGCAACCAGTGAATACCCACTTCTTCTCTGGGGCAGGATGCTGTGGCGGTGACTGGGACTTTTAAACAGTTGAAGGTAAAGCTGGGCGAGGAAGGTTTCAACCCCACCATCATCAAGGATCCTCTATTCTTCATGGACGACAAGGACTACGTACCCATGACTCTGGAGATATTCAACGCCATAGAAGAGGGGACACTCAAACTATGAATGATTTCAGCCTTTATTGTTGGATAATCAAATAGTGTTTTTACATTTTTGGAAATACAGGATGCGAAATAATAACAAATGTCTTGTACAGCAAGTGTTGTTTCAGTTCTACTTTGAGCTGGGATTATTTGGTAGGTGACTGTTTTAGAGGAAAATCTCTGGATAAGAAAAATCATAAAAAGCGACGAGATTCTTGGAACTTTTGTAATTTTGTGATTCGTTAACTTGCCGGTGGCTGTTTGTGCCAGCTCAAAAGGTAAACGGCTTCTTTGTCAGTGAGAGGTTTCCAGTTTGGTCAAACGCGGCCGGTCACGGCTTTCGGGGAATATCGCAGGAGATTAGCTGTGGCGGTAGCTTCCAGTGGAGCCGTGTCGGATACGGGAGTTCATTCTTCGCAGGTGGGGGACAGGTGTTTCTGAGGTGCCTGGGAAACCGTCAGAGGGCAGCACAGTTGCTGCTGGCCGCACTGCACCCACTGGTTGCAGAAAATGGGCACACTGTAGAACTTCGTCAGCTTCTTCAGCACCCGTTTTCCTAGGACATTTGAAGGCATCTCAGTAATCTTGTACAAAGGCCCGGATCCTGTTGCTGGGCCTGTTGCTGGGCCTCCTGCGGCCTCTCTAATGCCAGAACGTGCTTCATATTCGCATCCGGCCAGTGGCCCGACGTAGGCGTACGGCTCGCTGCTGCAGCTAAGAGAGCGCATGGGTCTTCTGGGTCGGTTCCAGTTCTTGTCTATCCACAGCTCCACTTGAGCTTTCTCCAGCGGGGTGAAAGTGTCTTCTTTCTCCTCAGCCGTGGCATCTGAATGAGGGTCTTGTTTTTTTTCGGCCCCTTTGGCCTCGTTTTCCCCTGATCTCGGCTGCTCCGCCTTGGTCAGAGTGCGCATCTCGGCCAGGAGAGCGGACGCCGTTTTGGAGATAATGCCCCAGTCCTTAAGGACGTCGTCTGCAGAGGTGAACTGTGAGGTCACGGTGAATCGGATGATGCGCTTGGCGTGAATTTCGGCGGGGATGAGGTACATGGTGCCGGAGCGGGTCAGTCTCCTCAGAAGTTCCTGGGTCATAGTGTTTCCTGCCTAGAACAAGAAGAAAACCACAATGCACGTAAAGACTGCAGGGCAAAAACACAAGTTATTGACCCCATAAAAAATTGAAATGAAGTGAGGTTTAATTAAACTTTAGCCCGACTCTGTCCCTTCCTGTGAACATGCTTTGTAAAACCCTACTCAGTCTATCTCACCTTTGATCATCATGTTATGGGAATGCTCGTACATCTTTGTAATGATTAACCAGTAATGCGTGTGTTGCTTCGTTCAAAAGGCAAAACCTATTTCGGATTTTATTATACATTAAATAATCGTGCTGCAAACCTTCAGACAGAAGACCACGAGGCCAAGGTGCCTCTGAGCAGGAACTTCAAAGTTTGGATCTTTCTTTATGTGAGATTCCAGGAGCTTTGCCATCTCAATCCCCTAAAGTAGAAGCAAAACACTCTGAAGCGTTAGTGGGTGGCTAAGTCTTGCTCTGAAAAATGAGTTTTAGACTGGAAGTGAATGTCACTTGCATGTCTGATGTGAGCCTGGAGGTTTTTCAGCCCAAAGGAGCGCATGACAAACCAGAGCTTTAGAGATCGGAAACGTCGACTAAGAGGGATTTGCCAGTTCTGAGAAAGCAGGAAAAAGTTGTGTTATTGGATCAGGTCGGTCCCAGCAACGGTTGCGCTCCCGACTTGGTGAAAACAACATGAAATCGTACCATAAAATCTGTCGCTGCCTGTGAATTTTCATGCCTGAGGTAAACAGGATCAACGCTGAAGGTCTGCTGGAGCTTATATTTGTCCTTCACCCTGAGAATGCAAATCGTTTCAATCAGATGGGTCGGTCATGGACTCACAGCTTATTTTGCAGGTGTTGCTCCGGACAGAGTGACTCACCAGAAAGCTGTGCAGTCAAAATGAACCATCATCCACTTGGAAGGGTTGAAAACAAAAGAGTGTGCAAAATCAATGCCCTCCATTGACCAGCGGAGCTCGGGGCAGAAGTAGGCTGAGCCAGCATAAGCGGCGTCCACATGAAGCCACAGGGCCTCTTCCTTACCTGAAAAAATATTCAAATACTGCTATTGTCCAGTTTTGTATACTTAGAAACAAAGTTTTATGTTGCTACAAACAGTGATAAAAGGTGAGGCACGCGTAAGGAAAGTGGGAGGACGCACAGACTGGTCCCAGTTCGGAGAGCTTGTCGAAGGCACACACGCCTGTCGTTCCCAAAGTTGAACACAGCTGAGCAGAAGATAAAAATATCATCCAAGGTTAAGTCTGACTTGGGCTTAAAACAATGTATCATCTTTAAAAAAACATTTTATCTTAGAATTTTTCATGATGTGATTTTCTTTGCTTTTTACGTCAGTGATAACATTAGAATGCAGTCATACCAAATGTCATGTAACTAAGGTAAAGAAACATAAAAATTACATGGATTCATATTCAAGCTTTCAGAGATTCTCTGCAGATCATTTCCCACCCTCAAATACAAAGCAGTAAAAATGAAGAATGTTTTTATCTCTTGTTTCTGTTTTTTTTTCTTTCTCACTCCCCAAAAAATAAATAAAAACTAATTAATCTTTTTCCCCAGATTACTAACATGTGATACTATATATATTTTAAGATGCATATATTTGGTGTTTAAAAAAAAGTCATTAAACTAACAATCCACTGGATGTTAATATGTTAAAGTCTAAATATAAAAAAACACATGTATCAACGCAGAAGAAAAATTCAGGATTTTGTGGCTGTTAAGGATTTGTTGGATCTCTGACGGAGCACTTTAGCCAGTGTTGTAAGAAAAGGACCGTTGTACATCATTTGCACATTTGTAAGTTTGAGGGACACGCGCTTTAAATATGTTATCCTTCAAATCATCTGCATAAAAAGAATTGTTAGAAATTTTCCGCTAGTATATTAGTTTCGAAAAGTTCATCTGATATAATAGCAAATACCATTTAAAGCATTACAGTTACTGTGTGCCAACTAAAACAGAAAAGAAATTCATTTTAATAAAGTTTTCTGTTAAATTCCCACTGCTGATGTCCATCAGTCTTTGCTTTAAGTACATACCATGAAAGGGATCAGTCCCATTCGCTTGTCCTCTTGAATGGCTTGTTTCAGGGTGTCTCCCCTTAGAGACAACTGGTCATCCGTGGGAAGAAACCTTATCTTCACCAGTGAGATCAGACCTGCTTTCTCAACTGAGGAATGAGCCTGCAAAATCATGCGTAAATCAAACCTTTTGTTCATTACAATCAGATGGACAAGAAGCTGAGGCACTGACCTGATCCGAAGCGTACGCTATCAGCCTCGAGTTCAGGACCGAGTCGTCCACCTCCTGGTCCAGTTCGGCCTGCAGCTGGAGGATTTTGTCTTTCCGCGCTGCCAGCAGAGCGACCAGCGTGCTCTCACTGACGGTGCTCTGAAGGGGGGGAGTCAGGTGGAAGAGAGGGCAAAGGAGCTTTCAGTTCAAGCAGACAGCCGTACAGCGAAGCTTCTGGGGCTTAACGAGTGACGGTGGCGCAAACCTGAAGGATGCCTCCACCTCTGCTGTCAGGATGGTGGTGCAGGAAAAAGAGGGGCAGTCCCAGAGCTTTACACAGCCAGTCCATCACATTCATTTCCAGTTCTGTGCATGCCGGGCTGGAAGCCTGTTTACAAGCAAAGCCCCCCACGCACACTACATCAGGACGGTGGTTTATCTGTGTGAAATCCTAGCCTTGTCTTTTCTGGAGCATCGTCCACTTACCCACGTGAACCCGACACAGTTGATGGCATCTGCCAGCATGTCCCCAAGCATAGAGGGCCACGAAGTCAGACTGGGGTAGTAGGCGTGCATGTGGGGGCTCTGCCAGTGAACCACCTGGGCAACCACAAAAGAAAACATCACCTTCTTCAAATGAATCAAAAAACATTTTCAGTGAATAAAAATCGAGAAGTATTTGGACTTGTTGACATGATGGATGACCAGAGGAACTGACCCCTGGCATGATGACCCTCTCAATGTCGCTGAAGATGCTGTCCCAGTCCTCCGGTTCAGTCGGGGCAGAGTCGGGCAGGAGCTCCCGCATGTAGCCCGGTTTCACATCAGGGATGACCCTCCTCTCCCTGATGGAGCCCAGGTACTCTGTGATATAGTCCACCAGCTCCTTACCTGATCAGGAAGACAGTAATGTGAGCGATACTCCCAATCGCGTACGTTTATTTCTCTCCGTGGTGAAACAAAGCCTGAACATAGACAGTGTGAGTGTGAAGTGAAAGGTTACCTCTGCGATTGTATTCTTCGGCCTGCATCTCCAAAGACAAGAGCTCCCTGACTGAATCTGTTGTGTGCAACAAGTGGCTGGAGGGATGCTCTGTGTGTCCAGGAGCAGAGATCACAGAACTATATAGAGCTCGTTGTGAGGAGCACGCCCTTAGTGACGCATAAGAACCACCGGACAAATGCCCTGCACGTGATCTTTCCATTAGCCACTGGCTCCACGTTTGCGCTGAATATTTACTTTTCTTTCAGGGTGATATTTGTTCATTTATTTGTGAAACAGTCATCGCTGCTATTGATAGCTGACTACCAACAGTGAGGGCATGTAACTCCTTTTCACAATTTTTTTTGTGAAATATAAGAAAATAGAGAGTACCCCCCTCCTCCCCACCCCCCAACCCCCTTTTTATAATTGCTGTTACAAAAGCAAATCCTCTTTCGGTTAACAGTAGCAAGAATCCTGTCTGTTTTTAATCATTTATTTATTTCAGTTTGAAAGATCCTTTAACCTAATTTTTCTCATCGCACTCAATATGTGTATCACATTAGCCACATGGTTAAATTATTGTAAAGTTATTTTTTGTCCTTAAATGGAAAAATGAAAGCTGAGGCCATCAATTCTTCATCTTAGTTTAGCAGACAGACTGGAACATCTGACCAAATTAAACTTAAACATCCTCCCAGAATTTCGTTTTTTTTAGATTGTATACATATATCACCATCATAAACATCTATGGTAACATGATACAGTTAATATCAGTATTATTTTGGCTGAAAGCATTTTAGAAGACGGCTGGGGCAAAATGTATGGGATTATGACTCTTCTGAAAGGGTAATAGATGGGACATTATGAAAAGAAGAGCAAATAAATGGAGAGTGAGTGGAAAAAGGAGACAAACCCCATCAGTGACACAATTTATTGCTGCCTTTTTATGCTTGACAAAAGCTTTAGCAGCACCTGGACTGTTCACACACAGTGCTGTTTACTGGCCTTTGTGCTTGACATGTGATAGCTCTCATGTGGTCCCAATGTTGTACCAGAGAGCCCACGAGGAGAGACGAACACCGAAACCAAACAGGCACTACGGGGATGTTTATCTAACCCTTTTGAAACCTGTTCGCTCTTCATCTGCAGATATGATAAACAGATGATCTTCAGAAAAATCATCTGTTAAGATACAGGTAATTCATAACACAACATATCTTCAATTTGAAGACTTCTAGAGTCAGTTCTGGATTTTCCTACTTTTTCTGATATCTGAGTGTGTTCATTCTAGACTTCACTGACATTTTTTTCAAATTTTTTTATTTTAAAGATGTGATTTATATGACAATAATCCAGGTTTCCAAACTATGTAAGCGTAAAGTTCACGTCTGAACTCAAACCAGCCAAACAAGTTGTTAAGAAGTGAGTTATAACAGTCACAAAGACTTTTTGATTCGATTGAAGGAAGTTCACCCAGGAGGAAGAAAGGACTAATGGTAGCTGGTGTGTGTTTATATACATAAATGTTATATGATATGCAACAACGCACACTGTGGCTATTGTGCCTTTTCCCTGTTATGGCTTTATGTCTGAGAGTCTGGGCCTGATGAAAGCATATGCAATCATAGTTGTGCAATTGCTTTGCGACATCAAAGACAAAGTGCTTCATGATGGGCCTTGTTCTGATGCTTTTATCCAAATAAGCTGAAAAAAAGTCAATGTTACATCAGCCATCTTGATAAATCAAACCAAAGTTTAATCGCGGTTCATACAAAGAGAATGGCGTCACCAAGTTTTATGTTAATACGAAGGGCGCAATGTTGACTAATGATGAGACTGTTTGCTAATGAAGAGAAATGGAAAACTGTAACTGCGGGGTTTAAAAATGTTTCTTCATAGTAACAAACATGTTTATGGTACACAACAAATAAGATGTATAAGGCAACCTCGTTCTAACAGGGATTTAGTGTTAGAGTCTCACACATAACAATAAGAACTCTTATTGACCAGCTAAGATTATATTATAGAAAATTCTTTCTGATGTGAAAGAAAAAATGCATAGCACACTGAAAAAAATATTTAAAACTTAAAAAATAATTTGACTAATTTCCTTTGCTGACGTTACACCCGCGCAGAAGTCAAATTATTTCTAAATGTACACAGTAAAAAAAAAACAAAAAAAAAAAACATTCACTGGCTATCAAAACAAATACAATTTTCATGATGTCTTACACTCATATTTTACAAGGATGTCAGAGGGATGAATGCCACTGGTATGTGATCATAACCCTTCCCCTAAATCCAGGGACCTGTACAGCATCAAAGGCGGCTGGAGTTATGGTAATTAGGTTAATACTGGTTTTAACTTTCAGCATCAAATCAGTGTGAAAGGCTGTATGATCATAGCCTGACATGCACAAACCCCCAACCAAGGATGGGAGGGGAGCATTCCCTCAGATGATCCAATCTTAAACAAACCCTTCAACTCCTCTCTGTGGAGCTGCCCCACCGGTCCAGCTGGTGGGGCTAATGTGCAGTGAAGCTGCTTTGTTAAACATTGGTAAACATCAGAGTAGAGGAGGAACAGAAAGGGAAGCGGAACAAGAAATCACAAATCAGCTGTCAAAAAGTGGTTTAAGTGAAAACAACGGACCAAAAAAAGGTAACCGATCTAAAGAATCGTGCTAATTTAATACTCCGCGACTACACATTTGCTTGTATTGTTGCTGAAATGCATATTTGAACATCTGAATGTAGTTGTGGACGTCTGTGTTGGTGCAGTGGCTAACTAGCTCCGTTAGCGTAACTGCGTGATATCAAAGCGCAGCATGCTAACGTAGCTAACAGCTAACTAAGAAGCCAGCAAAACCAAGTTCGTATTTAATTTCCTAAACATAATTTATATCGGGACAGTTGTGGGTTAAGGCTCGATGCCGAATAAGGCTTTTTGTCAAGTTGTCCTTTAGCTGGTGAGCAAAAAACCCCATCTTAAACAGGTGGGTAACGGCTAACGTTAGCCGGGAAAGTACTTACGGTTGTTGTCGTCAATGTTGACAAATCCCTTGTCAAATCAGCTTGTTACAGCCACAGGCTAATAAGTTAGGCTAACGTGCTAACCGGGAGGGTGACATTTGAATGGCTTGTCGTCTTTTTTAATGTTTTCAGATTAATTCAACTTCATTTTTGGAGGTTTAGAGCTGCGGGGTAGCTAACGGAAGCGAAACTTATCTGGCTTTTTGTTGTTCTGGGAAACAAGGAGGACAACTTTGGCTCAAACATGGGCTAAAGACGTAGATTTTTTACAGCCATTGCTGCGTCGTGTTTGTGCCCGGCTAACTGTCAGGCTTCATAACTTATTGTCGCACTTTTCCTTCATTTTTCAGAGATGTGCAGAGGTCGTGGAGCGTTTTAAACGAATCTCCTGTTTGTGAGTTCTGACCGAACACTTCCGCCAAGATGCCTGCAGTATCCACAGGGGTCAAGGACCTGTATCTGTCCACCTCTCTGGGAGACCTCAACAAGAAGGCTGAGATTAAGCCAGACAAGACGAGCACCAGAAGGTAATGTCGTTTACAAAAGTTAGCCCACTGTCTTTTTGCATTAAGCAAATGATGTCTCACAATGGTGCAAATGGGTTTCAAACCTGAAAAGTTAGTCTCAAATAGTTTGTGGGTGAGCCACATTACGTAGAAGACATTATGTAAAAGTAGAAGATGTGCAACATGTGAGGCCGATCGTGCATATTTTCTGGCAACAGAGGCAGGGTTATTCCAGGGCAAGTTAAGAAGCACGGCCAGCTGTTCCTGATGTTTGTTGGCCCACCTAATTCTCAATATCGGCTCAGAGATAACCGGTTGTGCTTACGGACATAATGTGTCCATCCCGGTTCTTTGGGCATTGTTGGAAGCCTCCTCTGGCCAAAGTATGGAAATCAGCAGACTTCACACTAAGAGCATACGTATAAACAAAGAAGATTAAAGCACTAGATGCAGCATCCATTGCATTAATCCATACATGCTAATTATGCCATGAAAGGAGCAGATAAACTTCTTAATTGACCTAGAATGGACAAACATTTATTCCTGACACTTCTGTAATAACATTCAAACGTAGGTTTTTTACTACATAAAAGTATTATTTTGTTAATTGGATGTTTTCTGATATAGAAACCAAGGATGAATCCTTTTAGTTTGTGATAGATCCAAAAACAGCAGAATGATGTGGATCAAATTCATTGAATATAAGAGAAACGTGTAGAACCCATTTTGACTCGTCATTCAACTTCCATAGTTTTTAAGACCGACTACTCCTTAAGGTCAGAATATCCATTGTCTGGATCAACATGCCTGTGTTTTAGTTCAGATTAAATTACCTTGTGCACCGAATATTTGACAGATGCTTTGAATATTCCACTGGTGGGACGTCATGGTGTGGTTACATTAGCCGTTAGAACAACCGATCAGCATTTAAAAAAGCACTCTGACCGACTTTCATGATAAGATAAGATGCTTTTTATTGATCCTTAAACGGAAATTCTGCATAACGGTTGAATTATTAATTTTTTGCCTGCCAAACCATTGTTTGTGTGAGCGTCAAATGAGTGCTTTAAATGTTGCCACAGTGTCTGTGGGGCAATGTGTTGGGGGGGTTTGTTAAAGTTCATCTGATACTGAACATAAACTGCTCCAGGGCAGGTGATCCAGCCAGGTTCAGGGAGCCCTCCGACTGTCCCTGAATAGCCTGACTTTAAATTAGGAATCGCTGGATATTACTCATCCTGCCTCATAATACACGTTTCAGTTGTGCTCAAGTCAAAATACAGATGCTGAACAGAGTTGATTTAAGAACCAGAGCTGTTTTTTGGTATTGTGTGAAGGAGGAGATGGGGACTGAATTACATGCAGAACAGCTAAGTCAGATGGAGATGTGTGTACTCTTCGTCTCATTAACTTTATATATGTTGTGTTGCAGCTATGTTCAGAGTGCCTGTAAACTTTTCAAAGCAGCAGAAGAGTGTCGTCTGGACAGAGATGAAGAGAAAGCTTATGTGCTTTACATGAAGTATTTAACAGTCTGTGACATCATCAAGAAAAGGCCAGACTACAAGCAGCAGCCGGTATGAATCAGAATAAAAACCTTTTTTTATATTCTACAAAGTATTGCTGATTTGTTTTCTCTTTGAGTGACTATTTTCTATCTCTTTGTGTTAAGGATTATTTTATGACTATGCTTGGGCCAACCAGCTTCAAGAAAGCCATCGAAGAAGCAGAGAAGCTCTCTGACAGCCTTAAACTCAGGTCAAGATGCTTTTGCTGTCCTCCATAATGCAACCTCAGTTGATTTGTACAAGGAAATATACAATGGGTTTTTTCTGTTTTCAATGAGCTAATATGTTTATTTTAAACAGGTATGAAGAATTTGAAGTCCGAAAAAGACTTGAGGAGAAGGAAAGACTAGAGGAGAAGAAGAAAAGGGAGGAAATAAAAGAAAAAGATGGCGGTCGTGGCTCTCCCAAGGCGTCATCTGTCAACAGGAAGGATAGCAAAAAGGTAGAGATGTCAGACATTGATTTGACTACTAAAGTTTATGCTATGCTGCATAAGTTGTTGGTTATGTAAAAACATCAACATATAATTTAAAAATCTAGATAAGAGTGATTGACGTTAAATACCAATCAGTACAGTCAGTACAGCCAGAAAGAACAGACCCCTTAACTAAAAATTTTTTTTTGTGATTTCACCCTCTTCAGTTTTATGTGTTTTCTCTAAAAACAAACATCTTTACATGCTGATGTATTAATGAGATCATGTTTTTCCGTTTGGTTGTAGGTGAAAGGGGAGCAGAATGAGCTGAAGAGCGTCATCACAAAAGGTAAATGAACATTTTTTAAAGTTTTTTTTAAGCAGCTATCACTTTAGCCCGCGTGGTCTTTTTTATTTAATGTGGTGACTTTGTCTGTTAGCCACGCAGCCAGCTGGCGGGATCACGGCCGAGAAGCTTTTCCATATGATGAAGGACCAGACGATCACGATCATTGTCATGGATGCCCGCAGCCACCGAGACTATGAAGAGTCTCACATTCAAGTCCCAGCCCAGACCTGCATCAGCGTGCCTGAGGAGGCGGTCAGTCCCGGGTGAGACGCCATGCTCTGCCTCTGACTGCTCCTTCTGTATGTCGTTTCAGAAAACACGAAGAATGACACGAAGGAGGGACAGAAGAAGGCCTGTTTATTTACAGGTTCACCTAAATCCTTGTTTTTCCAGCCTACTCTGAATTCTTTCACTCTATTGTCATTTCAGAATCACTGTGAATCAGATTGAAGCAAAGCTCCCCGATGTGTCCAAAGACTACTGGAGGCGGAGAGGATTGGTGGATTACATCATTTTGGTGGATTGGTTCAGTTCTGTCTCTGACCTTAAACTGGGCACCACTCTGCAGAGCCTCAAAGACGCCCTCTTTAAGGTATGCGTGGGGTTTCTCTTGCGTGGGAGTGTTAGCCGTTTTTTTAACGTGGCAAATTAAGCGTCTGCATAATCCACAGTGGGACAGCATCACCATCCTGCGCAGCGAGCCCCTGGTGCTGGAGGGGGGCTACGAGAACTGGCTATTGTTCTACCCCATGTATACGACCAACGCCAAAGTTCGCCCCCCCAGACAGACCATCATCAACACCCTCCCTCAGCGTGAGTATCAGCTGTACAGGGTGGAATCAGCAGATCTGTTTTTTATGGTTCACGGCAGTGATTCATTAATTCATTTTTGTTTTGTTCTTTTTAAAAGAAAGTGAAAACATTGGTGTGAGTGTAATGGCTCATTTATCTCAGTGTAATAAGAAACAACTCTAGGGAACACTTCCTGGCTGACTTAAAAAAAAAAGAAAAAAAGAAAGAGCTCTGTATAAGTGATAAATTATTGGAGAGACAGGAGAAAACTTAAAAGATATTTCTGAATTTTTAACATGCTAATACAGTCTAATTCATCCGTTTCTTTTCTATGGTGTTTGTAACAGTGGACTTCAGCTACCCATCCTTGGAGGATCCAAAGCCTCCGGCCCCACCTCAGCCGGATCCTGAGGATGTGTCTCCTGAGCCTCAGGAACCATCCGCTCCTGTTTTGGTTAACGGGGTTGCACCTGCAGAACCGCCTATATCTAAAACCTCAGTGGTTGCTGATAGGTTGCCAGATTCTATTGATTCTCCCATCATGAACACTACAAAATCTGGGCAGAACCTGAGTAAGAAGGGCCCTGCATCCAGCCAGTCACCTGTCACAGCCAAAGCATTCCCACAGGTACCGAACCCCCCAAAAGCTGTTGCATCCGTACAAATTCCAGATGGGACTGAACGCAGCTTGTTTTTACTTTAACCTGCTTGTTCTCCTCCTTCAGTTTGACCGTACCAAGAAGCCCGCTGCCTGGGCCTCAGATGAACGGTCCAACCAGAACGGGTCTGCGAAAGACGCCACCGTGAATGGCCCAGCTGTCCCCGACCGCTCGGGTAAACCACCCCCGGACCCCGGCGCCGTCCTGTCCAAAGAGGAACAGAGCCGGATCCACTCGGAGGCAGTGGCGGTGATGGAGAAGGCAAAGCAGGAGCAGGAGAAACGCATGCAGGAGCGCCGCCTAGAGGAGGAGAGGCGAGAGAAGGAGCAGAAAGACAAAGAGTCAATGGAGAGGCTGGAACGCGAGGACAGCCAGAAGAGGAAAAAGGAAGAGGAGGACAAGAGACACCAGGAGAAAAAGAGGCTGGAAAGGCAGAAGGCAGAGGAGGAGGAGGACAAGGAGAACAGGACGTGGGATGGGAAGGAGAGGAGGGGGAAGGAGCAGAACTCTGAAACCCCCTCTAAGAGCATGTCTCTGGATTCACCTGCTCCCAACCATATCGTTAATGAAATTAAGGTGAGTTCTTTTTCAGGGCTGTACGGTGCATTCAAGTTCAGTATTTTATTTCCACTCCTTATACGAGGAAAAGCAACTAAAACTCCAAAAAGTGAAAGGAGTCTTTTTCTGAATAACACACAGCCCAAAAGCAGGAAAAGCTGTTTTAGTTTTTTCAAATTTGAATATTTATGCGATCAAGTAAGAAAAAGGCATAAACTGTCACCATACGATTTGTGTCCTGATCTTTTTAAATTCAAGACGACGTGTCTTTGCTTCACAGAGGGAACCTCTGACCAGGGCGAGGAGCGAGGAGATGGGCAGGAGCGTGCCTGGCCTTCCAGATGGTTGGATGAAGGTACCAGAAACGTCTTTATTTCTGTTAGCCAGTCAGTTAAAGTTCCAAGTTCAATAGTATTTTATGGCTGATACCGTTACGATGAGGTGGATTTTGACTTTTTGTCTCCTTTTCGTTGTTTAGTTCCTCGATACAGTGACGGGGACCTACAGATACTACCACTCCCCGACCAACCGGGTCCACCTGTACCCCCCTGAGGTCACCGTCCCCCAAACCCCTCCTTCCACACCACCTACGGTCAAACAGAAGCCCCCGCGAGCAGCCGAGCCCGACCCCGGCCGGGAGAGAGAGCAGGAGCAATCCAAGCTGAAGCGCTCCTACTCCTCCCCGGACATTAGCCAGGACCTGAGGGAGGAGGCCCAGAAAAAGGCCACGGCTCCGGCCACCACGGTGGTGATACCCACCATCAACAGAGAAACCAAGTAAGTCCCAGACTGGCTGTGGCTGACCACACACCGTGGCCAGTGGGCATTTTACTGGCCCAAGCAAAACTCTTATGTTCTACCAATATTATCATTGTTAGATATTATATTATTATTATTTTCTTTCACATCTCTGCAAAAATGTTCTGATAATCTTTATTGTCCCGTATTGCTCTTCTCTCTCCTCCAGGCCTCCCAGTACAAAGGTTTATTCTAAAGTGGAGATTGCACGGCCGTCTGCAGCCAAAATCCGCAACTTGAATCCCACATTTGGAGGATTGGGCGCATCACTGACTGGCCTCCGTAACCTGGGCAACACGTGCTATATGAACTCCATCCTGCAGTGTCTGTGCAACACTCCGGCCATGGCGGAGTACTTCAATAACAACTACTACCTGGATGACATCAACAGGTTAGATTTAAGAGACAGTTTGAGTTTCCTAATAGAGGAGTCGGATGTGACGGAGGTGGATAACATTCCCGGATCCGTCCTCTTCCCCTGCCAGGTACAACATTCTGGGCCATAAAGGGGAGGTGGCAGAGGAGTTTGGTGTGATCATGAAGGCCCTGTGGGCCGGGCTGTACAAGTGCATCAGTCCGCGGGACTTCAAGATCACCATAGGCAAGATCAACGAACAGTTTTCTGGCTATGATCAGCAAGACTCCCAGGAACTGCTGCTTTTCCTCATGGACGGGCTCCACGAAGACCTCAACAAGGTAGGACACACACTTTAGTCACAGCGGGACAAAAAACACCCGAGCGGCGCGCTAGAGTTTAAAGTTTAAATGGAATAACATTTTATGTTTAAAATGGCTTTGGTTCAGCCCTGGCTGTGTAACGCTCGCCTAAATGTTGTTGCACATGTGCCTGTTGACAGTGATAAACTTAGACTGTCATCATTTTGTCCTTCTTTCTATGTTTTTGTTTTTTTCCCCACTGGGTTTCAATTTGATGGCAAATTAGCGAGTAAGTAAGTAGCTGTGTGTTCTTGGTGCTCCAGCAGCGGTGTGAATGTACCGTGTCTGCATCTGTCTGGTCTCTGTGCATGTAGACCCAAAACATGCTCACTGCTTGTACGACCTCTACTGGCTTCATGTGCATTTGAACAGAGGAAAAAAGATTCAATCAATTGGTAAAACGCAAAAATAATTTCATTGCATTTTTTTAATGTCAGGAAAATATTTAAAATGCTTTTTTTCTAATGAAAGTCAGTGTTCAGATATTAAAACTATAGTTAAAAATGGCCCAACATAGAATTCTTTTGGAGTACTTTTATGTTTTTTTTTAAAGTTGATAAAGGTCCTGATTGGGTTGTAGCAGCCGGTGTCTCCTAACACTCTCCATTTCATCACCTTCCTTCTGTGTGACATTCAGACCTGTCTGCCATCCGATCGGCCCAGCCCTGGTCCACATGCTACCTAATAAAACCTTATTAGTGAGCTCTAACCTGCTTCTCATGTCTCGCTGCATAAACCCTCAGAGAGCTGCATTTTGAAGCTTATTACATAGGCGTTGAATTCTCAGAAATGGACGTTGTTTCTTTATCGACTGGAATGTTTTTGGTTAGTGCCGATGCGGTCGGTGGGATCGTGCAGGCAGGTACTGCTGACCCCGCGTGTCCTGCCTCTTGTCATGTTGTGTCTCCATCTGTGTGGTCAGGCGGACAACAGGAAGCGGTACAAAGAAGAAGAGAACGACCATCTGGACGATCAGACGGCGGCGGACGTGGCCTGGAGCAAGCACAAGCTGCTGAACGAGTCCATCATCGTCGCGCTCTTCCAGGGCCAGTTCAAGTCCACCGTGCAGTGTCTCACCTGCCACCGCAAGTCCCGGACCTTCGAGACCTTCATGTACCTCTCACTGCCTCTGGCCTCCACCAGCAAGTGCTCCCTGCAGGTCGGTCTCACTCCAAACGCCAGCAGCGCTCCGAGTCTCCGGGAAAGAATCCGGGGTGGCGGTTTTCCTTTAAGGCGCCATTGAAACGCTTTGCTTTCTGTTGCAGGATTGTTTGAGGCTATTCTCCAAAGAAGAGAAGCTGACAGACAACAACAAGGTGTTCTGCAGACACTGCAAAGCCCACAGAGATTCCACCAAGAAGCTGGAGATCTGGAAGGTTCCGCCCATCATGTTGGTGCACTTGAAACGGTCCGTAGGCGTTCAGATCGCTGTAGAGCAGTTTTCACTTCCAATCTAATACTGATCCCGGCCTATCAGAGCATGTATTGAAGTTTAAAATTATTTATCTACTTACTTAGTTGTCAGACGAGTTAAATGTAGGTGCTTCTTTGCAGGTTCTCCTATGAAGGCAGGTGGAAGCAAAAGCTTCAGACGTCTGTAGACTTCCCCCTGGACAGTCTGGACCTGGCCCAGTACGTCATCGGACCGAAACAGAGCCTGAAGAGATACAACCTTTATGGAGTTTCGGTAAGTGGGAATGAATCTCGATTTTTGTGGCTGAAATTTGAGTAGCCTCTCGCTGCAGTCTGTAGGATTCCTTTAAGTCGGTCATTTTGACTAGGCCATGTGACTAACAGCTTTCTGAGGTGGAAATGAAACTTCACTGTCTATACGAAATCGGAAGACAAACGATGTCCTATCCCTGAACCTAACCCTGACCCTGATCCTGTCACTCCACCCTTCATAATTGTGAGAAAGAAATATTTTTTGGTTAAATTTGTTTGGACTTATTGTTTAATTCAGTGTTGGCAAGATTAATTTCACTATTTTTTATTTAATGTCTATATTGCCATGAAACAATTCCGATTTTCTTGCCTGGGATCTTCTTATCGGTGACCTAATCAAAATGGCCGACTTGGATGTGGGCGGAGTTGTATATCCAACCTTGGCTTTCTACAGTCTGCAGCGATGTGTACTTGGAAAATTTCGGCCTCAGGACCTGCGATCAGCCGAACCTTCTTCTTCTTCTCCCTCCAGAATCACTACGGGGGCTTAGACGGCGGCCATTATACAGCCTACTGTAAGAACGCCCCCAAACAGCGCTGGTACAAGTTCGACGACCACGAAGTGTCCGAAATCTCCACCTCCTCCGTCAAGTCCTCCGCGGCCTACATCCTGTTTTACTCCACCCTGTGATGGTGCCGGGGGAACACAGACGGAGGAAGCCTCCCCGGAGCAGGCGCACTCGGACCGAGAGGTTCCTCTTTTTTCTTTTGGAAGCCCCGGCTCTGAGGACCCGGTTAGAAGAGGTTAGAAGGCGGAGTCTGTGCACCGGGGGGCGCACCGGAGCGAGGGGCCGCGGGGTCCAGGCCGGAGAAGGGCGCCGGCGTGCAACGCTTCAGCAACTAGAGAAGCCGGTAGCCGTTAAACAAGCCGCGCGTCTCATCCAGAGACTAAACAGACGCTCATCTCACTCTGACTCCGCACCGTAGCTGTGTTTTAGGGCTGACGGCTGATTCCGACGCTTTTTACTCTCGTTTCTGTTGTACTAGGTGTGGACGGCTGTGCGGCAGAGCTGATTTCCAGCTTCCTGGTCCACAGGATTAACAGTTAGATGGCATGTACCTTCTTACCATTGCTGATGTTGCACATTCATTTTTTTTTTCATGTAAATATTTGAGGGGAAAGGTGATTATTTGTTAAGTGACCAAACTATTATTATTTCTTTCTTAAGAGTAGCAGCCATCATAATATCACACAGACACGGGGGGGTTAAACTGTAGAGCCCTCTGGTGTTTGGTATTTGAGGGATTGACAAACTGTGAGTGATCTTTTTTTTTTTTTTTTGGAGGAGAGGAGGGCACTTCGATTGTTGCTTGTTCATATTAACCACATTCTTGCACTTATACGATATGCAATCAGTTTCAGTTGTTTGTGTGTAACTCATTGTTTAACAGAAGACCTTAATAACTCAACACAGGATGCTTTAAATCAGCACTGGTGCTGAGAAGCCTTGCTCAGTTCAAACAGTGACATAAAAGCCCCCACCGGCTTCTGTAAGGTTTGTTCTCTGTCAAACACATTTAACTTTGTACATTTATGATATTCGAACACTAATAAGAGCTGAAACTACCGGGTTAGGTTGATGTCTCTCTAGATTTCAACCAGTGATACCAGTTTTTGTTGGTTTGAGTCTGTTATTTTGACTTTACTGGTAAATTTGCTTCATCTGCTCATATGAAGAACTTTGCTGATTTGCTTTCATGTGTCCACTGACTGAGTGAGGGGACAAATGACCTTCTGAATGGACCAGACATCTGAAATCACAGGATCTGACTCGACTTCACGAGTGCAGTTTTATTTCCCCGCATGAGATCAGGATCCGTTTTTCTTTTCACCGATTTTATTTCTTAATGCTCTAAATACAGATTGTTTGAGATATAACGATTATATTAACCTCCAACAACTCATACGACTATTTATTAAAACTGCGTCAAATTAGCGTTGTTTGTGTCAGTTTTGTCCTTCCGCTGCAGGATCCACTTCTTTCTGGGAACTGTCGGGGCTTTATCTTCACATTTACTCCCGTGCGGAGCGGTGGTGTTCAATAAACCGTTCTCCGCGGACTTCGCTCTCGAGGCGGAGCGCTCAGAGTCCGAGGATCTGCGGCTTCTGGAACGGTTTATGGCTGTAGAGCAGCATGTAGGCGTTGGGAGATTGCACGAGGATTTCCTCCAGCTCTCTGACCTCGGCGTCGTCAAAGCAGTGCCACCTCTGGGCCGGGGCGCTGAAGCACGCAGCCGTGTAGTGACCCATGTTCAGGTTACCCGTGTGGTTCTGGAAAAGGGGCTCAAATAGGTCACGTTTTTCTTTCAGTTTAATCTACTTTAGTGAGCTTCTTTAAAAAAATAAAATAATCACTCTAATGGAAGCATTCCAACCAGCAAAGCCTAAAACATCAACAACATCTGTCATTCTGTATTAGAATAAAGTTGACCGAACAGAGAAAAATACACTGTCCAGTTGTCTATGACCTACCACCACAGCATAAAGGTGGTATGACGACGAGGTGTTGTGCACGGAGCTGGAGAGAAACGGGGTCAGATCCAGCTTCATGGAGAATGAAACATTGGTCCTCAGTTTCACCTGATTCCTCCCCTTACAGCCAAACCTGCCGACATGAAGATCATTAAGATTCAGTTAAAGATCAGAGATTGTAAGCCAACAGTACCCACAGCTTTAGCTCGCCCATTTCCTCAGGGTATCTGGATATGATGTCACTTTTTCATACGCAGACTGACGTTAATGTCACTAAACTACACAATGGGATAAATAATTAAATCATAAACACATAAATTCAAAGCACAGCTAGTTTTCTGTACTTACCATTTTATAGTCTAACTTGCAAGAGTTCAATTGTTTTTTTATTAAAACCTTTTGCCCAATGAGATGTCTCAAGTTGCATATGAATTTTCCCATTTCTTCAAACATTGTGACAAATATAAATGACATTTTCTGCATGATTTGGGAATGCAAAATACAGATGGCTAAATTTGAAGACAAAATGGGTGAAACATACCACAGTAGAACTCAACTTATTGTTGATCATATTTTGAAGACTCAACTTCAGATTCAATATTGAGAGAGGAGGGAGGTAAAGAATGGGCCCTGGAATTTGACTTTGAAGCAATAATGAGCTAATGTTCGGAAAAACATCTGACGAGAATCAAAAAAGATTAAAACCACCCAACCTCTCTCGGTATGAAGTGAGATTGATATTTTAAATGATGAAACGGCCATTGTCATGTGATCATCAAAACCCCCATCAACACATGACATCACCCACCGCTTCAGGTGCAACACCAGGATCTCTGGAGCTTTTTCCAAAGACGTCAGGACGGTCGTCTCTCTCCTCAGCCCACACTCCGAACACAGCACCTGCTCCCCCCCCGTCAGGACCGTCTGCTCAAAGAACAGAGACAAGCAGTCCTGCCCGGGCATCAGATCGGGTTCAAACCAACATCCGGGTGTTACACAGCGGCCATCGCTTTGAAAAACGAAAGATAAAGCTGAAACATACCTGGATGGAGCACTTTGGGATGTCCTTTGGGATTGGCAGTGACAGCACGGTGAAGGTTTGGGTGTTGAGCGCCTGCTGGTCACAGTGCATGCAGAGGGTGGCGTAGCTCAGCCGGCCCTCGAACAGACGGGTCACCACCGTGGACTCGGAGGCGAGGCTTCTGTTCGGCTCTCGTCTCGGACGCTGCATCCAGGAGCGCTTTAAAACCTTGAAAGACACAAAACAGTTGTTGGTTTTTTTTTTTCTTCTGGTGTAGTTTGCCAGGTTACCATCGCCTCGCGGCAAGAGGTCCTGGTCCCCGGGGGAACCAGGACCTTTCTGTGTGGAGTCTCCATGTTCTAACCTGTGTCTGTTTTTTTATTTATTTATTTCTTTAATCGGGACAGTGCACATTAATGAACAATCTCATACAGATTGTAAATGAGCCAGATTCTAGCATAGTTGCTAGTTTACATCTGTCGTCCTGAGGCAGGAAGACCAAACAACCCAAAATCACAAAATACAAAATCAGTCCAAACACACGTTCAGACAATGACATTACAAAATTAAAATGAATTCAATTCAATTCAATTTTATTTATATAGCGCCACATCACAACAACAGTTGTCTCACAGCGCTTTCCAAACAGAGCAGGTCAGACCCTACTCTCAAGTTAATTACAGAAACCCAACAATTCCCTGAGTCTGTAGGCTCTCTCTTCCTCCCACTGTCCAAAAACCTGAATGTTAGGTTAAATGGTCATTCTAAATAGCCCGCCTCTCGCCCATTGACTACTGGGTTAGGCTCCAGTTCCCCCACGACCCCATTAGGGAATAAGTGGTTCCGATAATGGATGGATGGATGGAAGAGGGGGGCTCCTAATGGTGGCCCACCTTTTTGAAGTCGTCCTGGAGGGCGTTCAGGAGAAAGAGCAGCAGCTCCTGGGCGTCTTGCTGGGAAAAGTTGTTGAACTGCGGCAGGACGGAGCCCAGCGCGGCCCGGGCCTCCAGAGGGGCGCAGCTGGAGCCCCCCCCCAGCCACATCTTCTCCAGCAGCCGGACGAACGCCTCCGTCACCCTGCACCTGGACCTGAAACCCACAGGGAGCTTCAACCGCCGAGAAACTAAAAACACCAGGGCGTTTTGCTGAGTCGGCAGACGGCGTGCTTGCCGGCAGCCTTACTTTGCGAGCTCTCTGCGCGTGTCCTGGCTGAGGAGGTGCTCCACCAGGGGCACGGTGGAGCACAGGCACTGCAGCACGGCGTTCAGGTAGCAGGAGTTGCCGGAGTTGTCCAGCCCGCACACGCCGGGCCTGTTGCTGCGCCGCTCCAGCCCCGTCAGCCCCGCACAGCTGTGGGCCTTCACCCTGCAGAGGCCCGGGCCAGACACAGACCCGAGGGGTTCACTATCTCTGTTCTATTCTGCTCTTAGCCGCTATGAGGTCTGTAAAGGTCCCAAAGAAACTTTCAACCCAACTTCTGCCGAGTCTAAAAGGTCAGCCAACTGAATAAGTCTGTCCTGAACGATGCAAAAATCAATCAAAATACAACCAGATTTAAAGCTGGGAGCCTTTAACAGGAAGAAGTAATGAATTTTGATCAATTTCTTGAGAAAATTTGCTGAATATTTGCATTTTTTTTCTTTTTAGCGTAAAACATAAATGTGTTCCTTCATCAGATATGCAAACCGAAGCATTCGTTTTTTCACTGAAACCAGATTAAATGGGAAAACTTCTAGAAAATGCTTAATTTCAACACTTCAGCACGTTTACAAACCTCCTGTTCGTGCTGGTTAAACATCTGCTCTGTTGTCCAGTTAAAAGTTCAGGATCCAAACATTCATGAAGATGTCGTTGCCAAAGACCAAAGCCTCGGAAAACAAACGGGACGTACCTGTGTTTGGGCTGGTTTGTTGCTCCCGTCTCCGGGAACGAGGAGCTGTTCAGCCGGGGCAGAAGCGGCACGCCGCCGCCGCCGCTGTCCGCGGGCAGCTGGGCGGCCAGAGCCCTGCTGAACTCGGCCAGCTGGACGGTCCGGCCCGGGCCCCGGCTCTGCAGGGCGTGGAGCACAAAGGTGTTGATGAAGGCCACGTGCAGCGCGGCCCAGAGGCCCGGCAGGAACACGTCCGCCGCTGACCCTCTGGGGTCCGGCGGCAAAAGCAGGGCCGGTCCGGTCCAGCCCTGGAGGTGGACCGGAGGTCTGGGCTTCAGGTCGTGGTTCTGAGGGGAAGAGGTGGTCTGGCTCTTCACGGGCCTTTTAACGGCCGGAACCAAACTGATGTTGGCTCCGAATTCCGGGAGCGTGTTCGGGAGCCCGCTGCCCGCCCAGGCCGAGCTGTCCAGCTGGACCTTCAGCGTCCGGCCGCGGAAAGGTCCGAGCAGCCGCCTGACCACCTGCTCCACCACCGGCCTTCGGCCCTGCGTCCGGAGCTGCTCCGGGCAGTAGAGGAGCACGTTGCAGATGAACCCGGACCGGACGTCGCAGAGGAGGGCCAGACTCAGCGGGCAGGGACCGGAATGGTGGGAGAGCTTGTATTTCTTGACGGTCAGCTCGGGCCCGGGTGAGTGGAGTGTCCCGAAGCGTTTGCACAAGCGGTCGGAGAAAGAGGTCAGCGCCGCCAGCTTCTGCCCGTCCTCCAGCTTGGTCAGAGATAAGAGGCTGCTCTGGATGCCGTTCCTCTTCAGGATGCCCCGGCAACGGTCCGGTCTAGGGGTCGGCTCGGGTCCCAGGTGACCGTTGCGTCCCGCGGACAAACCGCCTCCGAGCACGATGGAAAACCACATCAGGGCCTCGCCGTACTGCTCCTCGGAGAGATCCCGGCCGGGGGCCCTGCCCAACAGCTCCCTGACCGCTTCCCTGTCCAGCACCTCCAGCAGAAGCTCCCTGGGAGTGCGGTGAACCGGACAGGCCGGGCTCGGCCGAGGCTGACCCAGAGGCTTCACTCTCCTGGACTTGAAGATGTTGGGCAAACGCAGGCTGTCCCTCTGAGGAGCTCCGGGCAGCTCCTCCACCGGGCGGCACTCCTCCGGACTCCAGGCGCACTCCCCCACCGACAGAGACCTGGTCCTCATTTCAAACCCCTTATCAGGTCCAGCAAAAAACAACACCTGGAGAAGATTAGGGTTGCCTTTACATCGAAAAGATTAGATCTTACATGACCCTGGCTGTACAAGATGACAGAAAATAGAGATAAAATTGTCCCTGCGGCTTGTTCGGTGTGACGGCAAAAGCTGAGACTAACCAGACTCCGAACACAACACGGCTCAGATGTTTCTTTTTCCTCCTCTTGGGAGTCTGGGAAACTATGTTCTGTGTTCTGTGGGCGTGTGCGTGAACCCTCCCTGGTGAAACACCGGTGAGAATCTGCTGTTAAGGCTGGATCCCTTTGGACGGGCGGTAGCCAGACAACCGTCCTGACAACGTACAAACAGGACGCAGCTCTGGTGACGGGCAGTGTTTTCGTCCTCTCGTGTGTCGTTTCTGGCTCCGGTCTGATTCCTTAAATACCGTCTCAAAAAAACCCAGGGGAGCTGCACAACACTGGCTTTAGAGTGGAGACTCTCAGTAAAAGAGGTCATCGTGATCCCAAGAGCTGAAGCTGCCTCCGCTCAAGCTCATTGGTTAAACCACTCATCACCACTTGCTAAATAGTTTCCCTCTGGGATTATTAAAGTATTTCTGATTCTGATTCTGATTCTGATCTTTAAATTGGTCTCACAAACTGGCAGTGGTTAATGAAAAAATGTGTTTGCACACGTTGGTCCAAATAATGTCGGCCTTCAGTTCCGTTTGAGTAAATCTGGGAGTTTACGTCCCTGCTTCAGACTGTCCAGGAGAGCATGTGACGTGTGGGGGTCATTCATTTCATGTGATGAGTACAAACGTCCTCCGCATGACAGTGCAATTCATCCATTCATTTTTCTATGCCACTTATTCCTGGTAGGGTCACTGGATCCCAGCTCTCATTGGGTGAGAGGCGTAGCACACCCTGGACAAACAGCCAGACACACTCACATTCACACCAATGGGCAATTTAGAGTGATCTGGCGGAGGGAGGAAGCCAGAGTATCTAGACAGAGGGAGAATACACAAACTCCACCCAGACCCCCGGGGGGACCAGGAACCAGGATCCCTTCGGCTGTGAGGACATGCTGCCAACTCCAGCCTAATTAAGTTAGAGCCCAAAGGCAACAAGGAAATGATACAATGTGATAGTAAATACGACTGGTCGTTAGTTCGTGTAATGATGGTGACCGCTCGTGTTTCACCTCCAAGCATCATTATTTTTACAGGACATTTCTGACCAGAAGATTTGGAAAAATTCCGACTGGGAATGCAAAAAAGCCAACATAAAAGTAGATCTTTTTTTTATTATTATCTATATTTATTATATTTGCAACTGATGTCTGTCATCCAGGGTGTACTCCGCCTCTCGCCCATTGCGCACTGGGATAGGCTCCATTCCCCCAAGACGCCGTTTGGGAATAAGCCGTTCAGAAAAAGGAACTGATGTTTGTCAGTGAATGCTTCAGTTATTATACTAGCACTCTGTGGAAATATTAGTCCCAATATCGCATAATGGCAAAATTGTGATCTTATTAAATTATTAATTTAGGTTAAAATTGTTAGTTTTTTTTACAAAGGAAAATAAATGATTAACTTCTAAGATCTTTGGGTTCGAGGAGACTTGTTGCACGGCAGGTCTCATGGGCTCACTAAAGCTGTACAAAGTTAAGAGTCTTGCTAAAATGTGACAAACTGCATCACCTGCACAGACAGAGGATGCCATCATTGCTTCAGGTGTGTTGGATTTACTGTCCCCAAAAGACAAAGAAAAAAACATTAAAATGGGTTGTTAAGGGTTTTTAAATGCTGTTTGGGCTTACAGAATATCAAAATCACATTTACAAATCATGCTGGGTCCATTAAAAAAAACGTTCTACTTTATATGAGGCGTAAGTCCACGGAGTGTGCCTGAATGAGTGAATGTGAGTAAATCATTTAGAAAAAGATAAGCACGCGGCTGTCTGCGGACACCTGGAGTGTTCTCAGAGCTTTCTGATGGTTAAGCTCCAAGAAACATTAACAGGTTTAAAATGTAACGTATGTGTTCTCTGGCTTCCCGGTTTTTAAACTGCAGCAGCTGGAGGAAGCTTTTGGTCTGTGTGCCTGTAGATGGCAGTGGTGACCAACGCTGATTTTTCTGACCAGCAGGTGACATCTTTGACTACAACAGGAGACCCAGAGCAGCTAGCGTGGCCCCACGGCCTCAGAAATCCTCATTTTCGGAAATTAGCTGAAATCCAAGTCGACACATCCGAGTCTGGTCTTTCTTCCTGGTATAAAGGTGTTTTTTAAAATCTTTTTCTTTTACACTACTTTTCATCCAAGGTCTTAAATCCCATCAACACAAACTCTGCCCAGAAACATCAGCAACAAACTTAACTCAAAGCTGCTTTGTTGTAAAATGCAGATCTATTAAAGCCCACAAGACAAAATCCAGCTGGATGTCACCATGACCAACACCTACTGGCCAGTTTTCTAAATTGCTTTGGTATTCCACCTGTTACACCTGATAGCTTTTCTGCTTTAAGCAAAAATCGCTCCTTTATCTTTTTTTTGTTATCTAGAAGAAAACTGACCGTGCTATATTTTTTTTTGCAGAATGGTGAATTTTTTTGCCGAGAGGGGTTTTTTCTGTCCCGCACATGCAAACACTGCAGTGTTTCCCATCAGTAAACAGACACTGCAGCACCGGGATGTCATGATAGCAGCTCGCCCTCTTCCACCGTGGGAGGCGGAATTGCACAATTCCCCGCATGGCCCTTCTTCATGAGCCCAAATCCACTTTCAAACTCAAATAATATCCTTTAATTCCAGAGAGACCTCCAGATTTCTGTCATTTCTACTCCAAGAACCTCTTAATTTACCAACAGAAGTATGACTGAGGCGTTCAGGTGCACCCGCTTTGGGGCGCCCACGCTATGCAGAGCAGAATACAGCACTAATGAATTTCAATTTTGAAGTTGGAGGCACAAGTAATGAGTGTAGGCGATATTTTTACAGTGCTGCGTCACGTAATTTTTCTCATTAGTTCCCACCCAGTTTATTTTTCTTCTCATCATCCCCCTCATCTAATCAAAGGACTGACAAACACAAAGTCTGGCAACGCCATGGAAAGTATGAAAAGTTTGATGTTCCCCATTTTAAAAAGTCTGGATATCATCAGAGCATCATTATGAATGCAATGATATTTGATCATTATTAATTCTGCTGAGCTTAGCAAAGGAGTTTAATCCAGAGCTGAACTCATTTCCTTTTTTTTTCTTTTTCTTTTTTCTCTTTTTTCCTTTTCCTTTGAAAAAAATATTTATCCTCAAGAATTCTAGTAGAGAAGAACAATTTATATTATTTCTCATGTGTCACGTGTATAGAAATCTTGAAAATATCTGTTGCTACCAGCATGACACAAGGGTACAGAGGCACTGGAGTACTTCACACATCCCCAGTTTAAAAAAATAGGTCAAACCCTCATATGTTGGAAGTAAATAAAAAACAATATGGAGACGACAGCCGAGGACCTAAATTATTGCTGACTTTCCCTCTTTTCTGTTTATTTTTGTCTCTACTAATAACCTGTCTGCTTAAATCTGGTGAACAACCAGACTTCTCATAAGGGGCGTCTCATAATTACGGCCTGGCCTGCTCAGTCACGCCTCGGTCTCACACTCACGGGGAGATGGTTACGCGGCCACTCAGCAAATGCGTCTGGGCACACAAGTGGTCATTTACGTCCCTGCTGAATTCAAATTTTGTTTTGAAGAATCAGCAGGAACACAAAGTCACCGGATGCTCCCGAACTCCGGCGGGTTTAATAACACACACACACACACACGTGTTCACAAACCAGGAGCAAACTGTTTTCGCCTTTCTGAACCAAGATGTCCACCCTTTTTTCTTGACCCTTTTCTCCCACCACCCGGAAATAAACGGTCACTCTGTGAGGATTAGGAAAGATGTTTTTATTCAAAAACCGTCTCCTCTTTCACCAGCAGGAAGAAAGAATCCAGCTTTGGCAAGTTTTGATTTGTGACACCGCAGAGTAGTTTTACATATTGACATCTCGAATTAGCCTGAGTATGAGGGGGTCAGCGGCCAGATCCCCCCCCCCCCTCTGCTTATATCCACTCTCCTGAGATGCAAACTTCAAGATAGTGTTTCATTAGATGCTAAATTAATACAGGCTGAGGTGACTCATCAACATTTGAAGCGTATTTGGTGGAATATTGAACTTTAGCACGTTGTTAAGACCACCCAGAAAACTATCTTGTTTTGTTGGGCATGTTTGTGGCGTCCAAACTCCCCCCAAAAAACCTCAGCAATGACTGAATTACAGTTTGTAATGTTTGCAATTTGCTCCATTTATTTCACAGATCATCCCAAATCCAAACTGGACGGGAAATCGTTGTGTGTGTAGTTGTTCTAACTAAATAACTGAACCTCTCAGTTAGCCTCTCGGCTGGACGAGGCCGTTTTTTGCTGACCAGCCTTTGGGCATCCCCCCTGGCTCCGTGTCCGGCGCCCTTCAGATGCTTCCTGCCGGGGAAAGAGTGTTTTTTTTTTTTTTTGGAGGACGGTCGGCTTGTGGGGCTTTTCTGTTTATCGTATCTGCTCTGACGAAGCAGAACGTTCTGTAGTGGGAATTCTCCGGCTAAATCGCGTGTCCCTGCAAAACGAGCGTGCCCGATCAGGACAAGCTGTTCGCCAGGCAGATGGAACACGGTGTTGTTGGGACACGGTGAATATCAATCAGCTCTTGAGACGATAGTCAAGGAAAGGGGGCACAAATGACGTAGCTGTTGTTTATCAGGGCCAATTAGAGGACCGTGCATTCGGCTTAATAACCCAATTTAGAGGGAAAAAAAGACCCGATTACGCTGATGTGAGTGACCCTCTGTGGTTGTGGTGATGGAACTGGTGCACGGGGACCCCGGGGGGAGAGAGGGAGTTTGTAAATGTGACATTGCGACTTGGATGAGCATAAAAAACGATACGCTGATCCGACACCGGGACGCTCTGTGACTCTGGCACCGGTGGGAGTTTCTAAAGAGCAGGTCTCCGGTGAGTGGCGAGGCCTATTTCTGTGGGCACTTTGTGCTCTAACTATAGTCCCCGGTGCTCTGCCAAACTGGGCTCTGGATATGGACGCGCATTCTGACACAGGGGAGCCAACACGGCGGCCTGTGGGGTTTTTTGGCAGGTAGCCGCTGGAGGCCCAACGGCCATTCATCCATTCATCCTCTCCCAGAGATCCACGGCGGCTCGTTTCGGTGTGTTCAGATTTTTTCGATGCGTTTCCGAATAAACTGCGAGCAGCAACTAAACGTTGGCTTTCCAGGAAAGAGAAGAGAACAGGAGTCAGGACCTTGAGTCAGAGCGTGACGGGTTAAGCCGACGGGTCGGAGAGCTGAGCCGCTTATCTCGGGTCGGTATTTTTAACCCGACAAACACCTGACAGGCCTCCGGACACAGGAAAGACCTCAGGAGAGGAGGCCGCGTGGGAACAAAAGGGAACTTAGAGGCCACAAGAGCGATAGGAGCTCCGGACTCTCACAAAAACAGTCCAGAAACGTCCGGAAACGTCCAGACCGGTGACTGGTTCCCCTTCCTGTTCTGTAACTCGACACTAATAACGCGTCTGGCTTTTCATCAGAAATCCCGGCGGGGCTCAGCCACTCGCCTGGGACCGTGTCGTAACCGGGAGAGGAAGAAAAACACCACGCGGCTGGCCTAAATTTTTTTGGTTCCAGCAGGAAGTGACGGCTGTGATAAAAGTCAGCTGGGGCTGATTTTTGGGTCGCACCACGACTTCCTGCCTTCCTGTGACGCTGCGAGTTAGCACGCCTGGTCAGATAGGGCTCCAGAATGGTTTGCTTCCTGTGGAGCCACACGTGACCACTTGTGTTCTGATGAAGAGCCACTTTATTATTTTTTTTTTTTAGCTCGTCAGTCTGGCTTCATGTGGCAAAAGGGCAAAGGCCACGTGAGTCAGATCGTGCTCATTCACCCCACGTCTGAAGAGGAAACGGAAGCTTTACTTTCATTTTTTTGTTTAAGATGACGTGTTTTACGGTAAATGAGCTTCTAATCTCATCAAACCCAGAAAACGACTGTCGGTCGTCACTCCCGCGTCATGTCAGCCATTCATTCTCCTGTAAAGTTTTAGAGAATATCAGAAACTGAGTTACATATTTATCATTGTGAGCACAAAAAATTTGCTGATTTTTTCCATCAAGTCCTAAAAGAGGTCAGAGAACCCAGTCAAGTCAGACTAGATCCAGATATGAGGAACCACGACCAGGAGTGATAAAGTACTGGAACCTTTGTTTTGAATGATTCGGTTATTTTTCCTCATTTCCACATGGCATGGGGTCAGTTCTTTTCTAAACTTTGGGACTTCCTTTAACAGCAGGTGGACAACTTAGTACCAAATTCCCAGCTCTGAAAGGCCACGCTCTCATCCAGGTCCACAATTAGCAGATGATTCAGACTCTCTTCCAAGAGCCGCTAGTGTAATTTAGCCTGCCTGCGAACACTAAAAGAGGAATGTAAACGTGGCAGAGACACGGTCGACACTTTTCCCCGTCACCGGGGAGTTTTCTGCTCCTCCGTCAGTTAGAATGGACCTAATTTAACATTTGTGGAAAGAAATAACGAAGAAAAGCCGCAAACTCTTTGCCAGTAATTTTTATTTCGAGATATTCTGTAGAACTGGGGAACCAATGATTACAAAAAAAGTCCGGAAATGTTCTACATGCTACACCTTAACCTAATTCATCATGCTTGCTTGGAAAAAGTACATAGAAATTTAACAAAAATGTACAATTAAAACCGACAAACATCATACCCACCGTTAACTTCACTTTTGATGTACCTTTCTGTTGCTTCCATGCACGCGTTTTTTTCCTTTTTTTTTTAAACATTTAGATAGAAAAAAAATAATTAAGACTTTTAGGCGCTTCTTTAAACCATACGGAAAGTTTTCCCACTAAAGACCGAATGCACCTGTACATTAAAAAAAACTAAAAACAAAAAGAATGATATCATCATTAGAATAGTGATGGAAAATGGAAAGCCTCAACTTGTTTTTAGAACAGAACACATGGATTCGCACCCTACCTTTAAAAAAAAAAAAAAAAGAAAAAAAAAGGACCACGTGCACGCTCTTAGTGCCCAAATGAAAATCTGAAGTCTAGCTCCTTTTTCTTCAATAATCACATTGACAAAACACATTTTTATAAAATAAATATCGCACATCTGCTAGAAATAAATAATGATTACTGAAGCCCCTCACTAGGTTAAATGCTAAAGTGAGACAGATTTCGTCTAGGCGACCACTTCATTTCATGGCATGAGGATGGTCATGTGTGTAAAGCACTAGTGCGGCTTCGAGTGTCTCTCACGGCTGTTACCTTGAGGTAGATAACACATTTACATTAACGCCTACGATAATGGTTGCTGCTGGCATCATGTGTCAGATTTACAGTATGAAAGGGTTGTTAAGGAAGCTTTCTTTGAGGGGGAGAAAAAAAAAAAAAGGAAAAAGCAAAACAAACTAAAAACGTCCGTGTTTGTCCCGTCCCGGAAAAGGCTGTTTGAGAGCACGGGGGGGGGGTAACCCGCGGCAACGGCTCTGGTACAGCGCCTGCTCCTGGTGGTCTTCGTCTACAGTACGTGATGTGTGCGAGTGACGTGAGGGCGTCGGCGGTAGCCGGTGAAGGCCCGGTGATCAAGGCTCAGAGTGATGGCAAAACTCTTTAAATAGAACAATCCACCCATCTCAACTCCAAGGAAACAACAAATAATAAAAGTAACTGGTTAAAAAAAGTATGAAATGATTCAAGTACAATATAATGTATCATAAAAAAAAAAAAAGAGACCAAAAACCCAAAACTGCCTGGATTTTACACTGTGAGGGCCAACTTAAATTATATATATATATATATATATATATATATAATTAATTAAGATGCTTGAAGATGCTGCTGTATGTTTTGTGGGCGATTTGGGGCGAGCATTTGACCGCACAGGGGCTGAAGGATGCCTGGATGGATTTCAGAGGCAGTTCGTCGGGGCTGTCGAAGCCGGGCAGGGCCAGAGAGTCCAGCTGCATGTTGAGCACGATCTCCGTGTGACCGTCCAGGAAGCCGTCGTCCAGCTCTCTGACCACGGGGGGCTCGGCCTCGGGGCCCGTCTCCTCCTCCCGGCGGCTGAACAGGTGGTCCAGGTAGCTGGTGTAGCTGCTCTCGTTCTGGAAGGGCTCCTCTTTGCCCACGTCCCAGCGGGCCTCGTCTATCAGGCGGCCCGTCTCCCCCCCGCCCAGCTCCGCCGGGCCGAAGCTCTCCCAGGGGCAGACGCACTCGCCGGCCACCACGCCCAGCGGCCCCGTGCCCAGCTGGGCCAGGTTCACCAGGCACTTCTCCTCCTTCTCCTGGCTGATGGTCTTGGACATGGGGCCGGCGCGGGGCGCCTCCAGCTGGGACACGGACACGTTGAGCTCGTTGAGCAGGCCCACGTCGCTGAGCAGGGCCACCTCCGCGCAGGGCTCCGGCTGCAGGCTCAGCTTGATGGTGCTGGCGATGAAGGAGTCGAAGTCGAAGCCCTGGCTCTGCGGGGGCCGCTCGGCCCGGTGCTTCTCCTGCGCGGCGTCCTTCTGGGCGGGGCTCTTCTCCGCCTCCTGCAGAGCCATGCGCGCCTTCACCAGCCCGTTCTTCTCGCACTTGCTCTTGGCCTTGCGGTCGGCCTTCTCCTTGTTGTGCTGCTCCTTCCAGTTGGAGAGGTCGATGATGAGTTTGGGCTCGTAGTAGTGGTTGACCTCGCTGTCCCTCCAGATGAGGCTGTCCAGGTAGGAGGGCGACACGGCCTTGTAGTTGCAGGTGTGGCTGCACTGCAGGTCGCAGTACTTGTTCTCGTGGTGCTCGTCCTGCCAGGAGCGCTCCGACGGGCACAGTGATGAGTAGTCGAAGGACGGCTCGTCCAGGAACTTCTCTCGATCCACGTCTGCGTATTTACGCGGATCCACCTGGACGCGGGACAACAGCCAACGTTAAGACTTTCAGATCAAACTACAGAGCCAGCGGAAGGCAGGGGTCCACGTACACCCCCACAAATTAATCCAAACGCATCAAGGACTTGGAAATGAAAAGAAAACAACTACACACCTGGACCACCTCCTCGTCCGTGACATCAGAGAGCGCTCTCGGGTCCACCTGGACTTCATCTGGGTCATGGGTGCTCTGCAGGTGCCAATCAGCCTCCGAGAACTGGCTCTCCTGGTACCTGATTCAGCATAAAACAGAGACGCGTTAAAAGATGTGAAGGTTTTAAAAAAGGTGAACTTGTGGCGTTGCGGGCGCCCACGCACCGGTCCCAGGTGTGGCTCTGGCTCTGGTCCATGAGCAGGATGTCGTCCACTTCGTCCTCGATGTGGAAGGGGTGCAGGGAGACGGGCTCGTCCAGGGGGAAGGAGTAGTCGGCCATATAGGGGTGAGCCAGGGCTTCCTCCGCGGTCAGACGATCCATGGGGTTAAAGGTGAGGATCTTGGCCAGAAAGTCCAGGGCTTCAGAAGGAAAACGAGACATTGGTTAGAACCCAAAAGGACCGGACGGGCGAGGGGAAGGTTTCCGAATTTCCTCCGGGAGCCGGCTCACCTTGCGGACTGACGTCCGGCAGCAGCTTGTCCAGCGGCGTGTGAGGCTTGGACATGTCGTTCCGGATGAAGACGGGGATGACGCTGTGGAGCTCCTGGCGGTCTTCATCTCGCAGCACAGGGATGGACTCCAGGATCAGCTGCATCTGCTCCAACTCATGTGCTCCTGGAAGGGCAGGCGGACAGACATTGGCTTCTTTCTCGGAAAGGTTACACAAGCCTCGGTATCTGCATGACTGAGTCTGAGGGAGGATAAGTGTGGCGGGTCATGGGAATAACGCTAATTTCCTCGTGCCCGGCTCGAGGCAGCTGTTACACACACACACAGAAAGTTTAACCCACCCCAAGCTAGTCAGGAGAGGAGATCAGTATAAAGTGGGGCAAAAGCAGACTCTTTGCATCCATCTCCATTCTTTTCACAACAGGTGGGATAAAAGCTGCGTGTTCAGAGTCAAGCAGACTGCCCTCCTAAATGTGTGTGTGTGTGTGTGAGGTGACTCAGAAAAACAGCCCAAATTTACCTGCAAACAGGGTTTTCCCCGTGAGCATCTCGGCAAAGATGCAGCCAGCTGCCCACATGTCGATGGCTTTGGTGTAGTTGTTAGGAGAGAGCAGCAGGCGAGGAGATCTGTACCACTTTGTGACAAGACCCTCAGAGAGGTGACCCTGTGATGGCAGGAGACATTGGAGCCATTAGGTTTTTCCTTCTATATAACAAATGATAGTAGCATGACTCTCACATTTAGCAAAAAAAAAGACACCTTTTCTTTTAAAACACCCCGTCCATCTGCACAGATATGATCCTTGGGTCTGCTGTGGCCCTCAGGCAGAAATGTTAGAACCACCCCCCCCACTGACCCCCCGTCTGTAACACAATGCTGCTGCTAACAGATGTGAACCATGCCTGCTGGTCTGTGCTAAACTTTGAAAGCATTGAACAGACCTGCTCTGGTCACACAACCCGGCGTGATGATGACAAAGACCCGAGAGACAGAGGGAGGGAGAGAAAAAAAAAGGACTGAAAAGGGGGATTTCACACACGTGTGGGCCGTGTCAGCAGTCTGAGGGAGCAGAATAATCCCCCGCTGCCACACCAGTGATAGCGACCTGCTCCCCACTCACAAACGGTGCCTGACTAGTCACAGGACTCCAAACAAAGCAAACTGACCTGCAGGCATACGCTGGGGGAGGGGAAGTGGTAAAACAACACTCACGTTGCCCCCCCATCCCCACATGCAGTGGTAGTTTGTGGTGGGACCAAAATGGCCAGCTCACCACACAGTAAGGCTCCGGTTTCTGCCCAAATTTAGCCTCCTGATGCACATCACGTCCATTCAATGGAGCCAGAAATGGCCACCAGAGAGCAGACGTAACGCCCTGCTCCAGGTAACCGGCTTATCCGCGTCTGGGAGCAGCTTGTAAAAGGTCATGTAGAATTAGGACGTAGTATCACACAAAGGTCCAGCATAAAGACCGAGAGGCCTGGTGCAGCTGCCCAGCCCTCAGAGCAGGACACTGCTGGAGAAGCCGACCTATGTGACTCCCGTTATGGTGGATGAATGCATGGATGCAGTCAAGCTGAGAGGGATGCATATTATGTTTGCCAAGGAGTGGTTGGCCTCTCTGTGAGGACAATTCAATGTGCAGTAGACTCTGAACCTAAAAGTGTCCCTGCTAGACGGAGGCATAAAGTGAATCCCAGCTGCTGAACTCGTTTCTCGGTAGGCCACTCGTCATAAAGAGACGGACGCAAGAGCAAAGCGTTAACAAGAAACAGTTGCTGAATAACTACTGATACGGATCAGAATTGGCAAATATGACTCATAACAGGTTCACTCTGTGGCAGACCGTTCTGGTCTTAACTTCCTGAAACCAAACGTTAGCAAAAAACAGAATCAAAGATCACATGCCGGTTTGCTCCGGCTCAGGAGCCGCAGCTTGTAAATGAACACTAAAACCATTGACCCCCCCACTATGCTGACACTCAAGGTAGCTTAGCCAAGGCCCTCCCACATGACTCATTTCTGTTAGAGTTAGACTTCAGAGAGGATAAGCAGAGCCTCCGTCACAAAGGACAAAATGAGGTACTTGTTACCCAAGTGATCTGTGCAATATGGGATGTTTTAGTCGGGCAGACCACATTAAAACTACCTTCAGATGCGAGAAAGTCAAAAACTAAATGGAATTCAATCGGCTTTACGTTTCCTCCCAAAGCCTTGTTTTTTTTTTTTCTTTAATAAGCAGCAGGCTGGTGCCAGACAGGCTTGTCCCTGGCATGACAACTAGGTCAAATATGTGTGTTAGACTGCTACGGCACTTTGTGGTTTGGAGTTACAAAACTTGTGTGGAAGAAAGGACCTCAGTGAACCCTTCTCATAATGCTGCAGAAAAAAAGGCCCCCACATCTCAAATAACTGACTTTTGCACTAAGCCACGAGTGAGCGCATGATCCTGATAACCACACTTTTCACAGGTTTGGTATAAAGTTTAACTAAGCCAGATTTAAGCAGAAAACCTAATACTTTCTACGATAAAAAAACATAGATCGATGTGAAAAGTGGACAGGATTTCACCCCCAAAAACACATGTTGGAAAAAGTGATTTACTTTTGTTCCACTGTCCTGCAGCAGTATACAACCAAAGACTTAAAACATGTAAGAAATCCATCTCCCTCTATAGAGCAGGCCCAAACTGGAAATGAACACAAACTTGAGAAGGCCTACAAAAAGAGAGGTCCTGGTCAAGGCCCCACACAAAAGGACAAAGAGCTGGCTGGGAAAAGGAGGGGAATCTGGATTGGAAAACTTGGGATGAGTGCACATGAATTCTTGTCATTCTTGAACTTTAGCCAACATAAAGGCCAACCTTAAAGTTAACATTTGCAGAAAGAGTGTGTCTTAAAGCAGTACAGGTAAAGTTAAAACGACAGAGCTAATGTCTTTTAGCCGCTCACACAACAGAAATAAAAATATGCAACTGAAACTATGCCAGGATCTGATGTTCGCTGGGAGGAGGAAAAAAAACAAAAGAGCTCTTCTTTATTTAGAAACTACACTATTCAAATAGCATGCACTCAGTCACCCAGCTGCCATCCCAGTCTGAAGCACAGGGTGTTTAGAGCAGAGTCATTGAGAGCAAATATGTTTTCATAACGCCCAGGCAGCACTGGGATGTTTTTTATTTTTTAAGGCCCCCATAGTGTCAAGTAGATGTGGCCAGTGTACTTGTAAAAGCCTCATTTGGCAGGAGGCACATTATGAGTACCATTATTCAGCTTTACATCCACCCCAAACCCTCCTAACATCCATAAGTAAAAGCTTAAAACTTACTAAAAAAATCCCTGACTTAACATCCAGCATTTGCATCCTTAACACAAAAAAAAGGACTCGGCAGCAGTGGTCTGCTGCAGTGCTACAGCAGACAATAGTCACACACAGGAGAGTCTGCTTGGATGTTTCCCCATCAGAGAAACTGCTTATACAGACAGAAAACACCCACACTGCTAGCCCAGCTTCAAGGCTGGTGACTGCGCAGTCACTGAATCATGTACAAGAAACTGTCACCGTTTTTCCATCAAACTTCCAATTCCTATCAAACAGTGACGTGCTGCCACCAAAGACAAAACAAAAACAATACTGCTGTTCAGCTCTTGGAACAAGAAAAAAAAAAGAAAAGCAGCTGCGGTAAACAAGTGTGTGCAAGTCAGTCAGAAGCGTTTCATGATGTCGAAGGGTCCTGGCTCTAATCTCTGAATCAGCCTGGGAGGGGAGGCAGAGGGTTCACATCACGCGAGCCCACTCAGACTCTCCGATGACTAATCTGTGACACGTGTAACCATCTGACCGCCTTAAAGGAGACCCAACAACTACAGCCAGCATGCCTGGGAGGGAGGGTGGAGCAGGCAGCCCACATTTCCTCATATCACACCACCATATGGTCAGGGACTGGAATTTCCTCCCTTTATAAGGTGACACCGAGAAACAAGAGCAATACAGCTGGTTAAAATTAGACAAGACAAACCATATAACTGCAATTCAAAGGCGCAAAGCAGCACACTTGATAGCTGCGGCCGTCTCACAGCTTAATGTTACAGCATTCAGGTTTACAGGGAGCATTAAAACATCTGGTGAGACAGCATCTGGCTTCTACTCTGCATGAAACCAGTACGCAACAGCGTGAGAGCAAAGAGAAATTGACCAAGAACAATGATAGAAAGCCCCGTGTGTGCATTAACGTAGCATGTCCACAATAGATCCGCAGCAATCTGAAGAATTCAACCTCATTACTGGCAGCAGACTAAGGTTAAACCTTGCTAAACCTGAACCCGGTCTGTCATGTGCACACGTTGTCTCCAAACATAAATTTAATAAAAGGAAAAATGTGTGTCAACTGTACGTAGTGGAAAAACTGTAGAGGTTTCCAAACTTACTCCCCCTGAGAAGGGAAACAAGAGGCGTTACCAGAAGGAACCGCATCCTGCCCTGCTTACTTCCTGCTGTGAAAAACTACGTCACCCTGGGGAGCTCTGCATTACTGGGCAATAAACATCCCCTTAAAGAGCACCCATCTCTGAACAGGAAGCACACAGCTGCAGCCCAAACAGCGCTGCATTCACACACACACACCGACACACAAATGGTCCTACCTTGTGAGAGTAGTGGGGGTCCATGATGCGGGCCAGCCCAAAGTCCCCGATCTTCAGTACCAGGTCCTCTGTGTTCACAAACAGGTTGGCGGGCTTGAGGTCGCGGTGCAGCACGTTGGCAGAGTGGATGTACTTCAGGCCCCTCAGGAGCTGGTACATGAAGAGCCGGGCATGGCCCTCGGACAGAAGGCCCCGGTCCAGCAGCTGACACAGGTCAGTCTCCATGTACTCCTGCACGATGTAGACGGAGTTGACCTCCGTCAGGGACACCACATCCTCCGTCAGCATGCGGCCGCTGGGGCCCAGCGTCTCAAACACCTGGTGATGAAAGAAAAAGGGTCGGCTCCTTTTAGAAATCTACACCCAACACAGAACATGCCCACTTTGTTTCGTATCCACGGTGGACAGGCAGCCCGTTTTTCCCCTTTGAACCTCACGACTTACCTTGACTATGTTGTCGTGGTCAAGCCGCCGGATGATCTTGATCTCCCGCAGGGCGTGCTTCACACTCTGGGGATCGGTCAAGATGATTTTCTTCACAGCTACACACTTGTCACAGTCGGTGTCGACAGCCGAGAACACCAGGCCGTTCCCCCCGTAGCCCAGGGGCTTCAAGTCCATGTAGCGGGAACCCAGGTCAAAGCCGTGGATGTTCATGAGTGACTCAAACTTCTCTGCCATGGTGGCTGTTGTTTTTTTTTGGAGGCCTTTCCACCAAGCTACTGCTATTTTTCACACCTGTACTCTGGCCCGATTCAAGCCCAACTTTAACACCGACGGAGGAATTTTTCAGGTAACTCCAACCTCTGCTTCAGAAGCCGAGCTAACCCCTGTACAGAAGACTACCAAGTCCCCCTGGCAAAGCCGTCAGTGTCAGATATGGGGCACCAATGCGTAATCATTATGTTTCTCCATGTTTAAAAGGGAAGAGGAATTTAAAAAAAAAATATGAATTCCTTTTTTCCTTTGTATGTAGATCACATTGATTGATAACGTCTGAGTAAACTAGTGTTAATAGACTGCAATGGAATGAACTCTAGGGCAAATTTGTTTTTAGAAAAAGAAGCACTGGGACTTAAATTATAAAAGCATTTAGTCGCACCCTCACAGTGCAGATACATTCAGTGTATGACTGGTCCTGAGCAGCATCGTAAGTGCCAAAATGCACAAGTTTTTTTTTTTTTCCTTTTTAAAAAAAATGTAAGCCTATTTTTTTTTTTTTCCCCTTCTCAAATCACCTGATCGATGAAATTGAAATGAATCTGGCCTTTAAGTCTTCAAAGGAGTTTTCCACCCTCAATGATCAGGTGGCTCGAGCTCGCCACAGTCACAATCAAAACTATCCTCCATTTTATTTGGTTATAACCTGGAAAACAAGAGAAAAGCAGAAGGGAAAAAAAACGTGAGGAAAACAACACTCATACGTAAATGTAATTTCCAGGAGGCGCTTGGCACTCCCCCAAAGCCGCGAGCCGCCCCGATAACCGGCTTTCTCCTAAAGCCGCGAGAGAAATTAGCCCCTCCCCTCCGCGGTTAGCGTGCTCGCTAGTCCGGTTTCTGGGTATCGATATAATTACCCAAGAAAGCACGTAAATTTCCAACTAAAGCTAATACCGGAGAGAACATAGACACTCCATTTTTGACGATAAACACGGCTTTAATACCGGGTCCATACCGCCCGACTCGGTCTCCGTCGTGTCGGTGAGTGCGTGGCGGATAAACGACGAGAGCCGGAGCACACCGACGAACCGCTTTCTGAGCGCCGCCAACTTGGTCATAATTGATCCCATATCGACCCCCAGAAAGGCACGCAGTCGTATTGAGATATAACCTATGGTAACACCGTGTCTGTTATGTGAATATCAAGCGAAACGTTAAGGAGGAATCCGCCAACGGCGCGAACAAAGGAGTCGTTGTTCGCGGAGGCTTTTGACTACGTGGAAACGCTTTCCCAGCGCTAAGCAACACAAAGCCGAGGTCGACCAAACCGCCCGAAACGAGGGAAAACACGCAGTGTAATCACAGCCAGTGTACGTGACATTGACACGGATAGAAAAAGCCACTACTTACAGTCCGTATTCGTTGCATTTATTAGGTTATAGCGTATATCAAACCTAAGCGAGGTTTGAGTGCGCTCCGCTCCCCGAGCTCTGCGGATCTGCTGCAATCGCCATTTAGGCTGTCTATGAAAGGCTGAGCTGACGTCACGGAGCTGCTTTCACGGGGTTTCGGAAAAATCCGCTCTGCAAGAGTGTTTAGTAGCCATGTTGGAATATTTTTAGTCTGTCATAAAAAAGTTGGTTTATTTTAAAGAAAGTATCAACTTACTATGGCAAATGAGAAATGATACTTCATCTACAATGACGGATCAGTTACAATCTGTAAAAGAACACCTTTCTCACACATTATCAACATCTTTTCAGGCTTATTTTCCTATTTTGAAAATAAGAAAAAAAAAAGAAATAATGCAATAAACCTACAAACAAGACATTTTTAGGCACTCATAGCAGTCCAGCAAGATTCCATTAACTTTGGTATGGCCTTTCTCTATGACGCCGCATGGACCATTTTCCAGTGAATTTTGGAAGTCCGAGCAGTTCATGAAGGCATCAGCAGTCATTCAAAACGTTTGTTTGAAGTTGATAAGGCGACAGCGGTATATTCAAAATCAAGATTAATGACTACGGGTTTTTGGGTTCCATTGACACAATGCAGTGAACAAGTATCTGTCAAGATCTGAAGGTTCTATAAAAGTGAGCAGACTATTTTTGCTGCAGTGACATCAGAAAACAAAACAACTATATAAATACTAATATAAAGGCTTAGAGATAATTTTTATGGTAATTGGATGGATTTTACTGATTTAAAAGGATTTTTCACCTATTCAGATTAATTTTAAGTGCTCCAAAAATTCTGGACTGTCTCAAGATAAACTTTTGATCAGCTTGCTTTCATGATTTGTAACATAAGCACAATGCAGACAGCGTTGGCCTCTTTGGACCGTGCAATATAGCTTTTGGCATAAGGGTAACAGTTTTCCTTTTCTATCTGTATCCCAGTCATGCAGATTGTTTATATCTATAATTTTTCTTCCCTCTTTAATTATAAGCCCCCATTTTTTAGCATTATCCCTTTTCTTATTTGTCCTTTGGCATAAATTAATGTTGTTTTCCTAATTATAGCGAGCAGAATTGCATTAGCCTTGTCAATGAGAAAAATCTCCTCACTCACTGTCCTTTAGGTATTTAAATGTCCATCTGTTGCAGTTGCACACCACGTTCTTCTTACAGGAATCCTTTCTCACATCACAGCTCCGTCAGTCTGCTACATCCAAAGGAACAAATTTGGAAAAACGCATCATTTTTCCCTGTTCTGCATCCTCATTCAGAGCGCTGCCTGGTCCAGACTCTCGGTGTGGGTGCTGTGAATGGATGATCGGATATGTGGGCTGGCAGGGAAGCGGAGAGCATCACAAGAGCAGCGGTCTGCATCAGCATCCACATTCAGACCATGTGAGAATCCATGTGTCCGGGAATGCAGATGCCTCTCACAGGTCGGGGTGGGCTCTGCGATGGAGAGCGGAGGCTGCATGCGGACTGAACGTGGTGCGACACTACCAGAGGGCATCTTTCCATCTGAGTTATAGTAGGAACGTGGCAGTATACTACGATGTAGTTTTTTCAGTTGTTATTTCAGGCTGTCCACGAATACATACTGTTATATAAAAGAGGCTATGATGGATTATTTATTCGATTTTAAAGTAGCAATTAAGTGAATGTGCTTTAAATACAATAAGGTGTGGGTCTTTTTTTCTGTTAACCTTCAGTTTTATATTGTTGAAAAAAAAACACAGTAATTTATATTCTTTATACATTCTTTTTTAATCCAGAAAGGAAATAACGCGCACGTTTCTGTATTCTACTCAAATTGGGTTGTGGAAATGTATCTAAACTCCTGCAGCACTGATCCATTATTAGTTTCTAGGTTTTACGGCAGCTTGGATGTCATTGCTCTAAAGTGCCATTGAAGGTTCTCTGACCTTAGGTTTTCAACCTTTATGCTGCTCTTTAGCACTGAATTTGGACCCCTTTTACCATGCAAATACTTCCTCATATGAAGAAGAATGCTAATAGAAGGTTTTTTTATCCGAGTAATGAATAATCAAGAATCAGATTAGTAAGATAAGGTACTTTCTTGGTACCGTGAATGCTCTTTGCCCTACATGGGCTGTGGATCCACGAAAGGAGGTCACAAGGTAAAGTTGCGTACTGCATCTCTAAAAGTTATCCCTTCTCCTTTGTTTGGTTTCAGGGACAGCATCAACAAATCTTCCTCCAAGCACTGACAATGAGTTCTTTCATTGTGGTCTGCTGGTTTCTCTTGTTACATCAGACAACAGTTAACATAAAGTCATAGTCTAACAGATCTGACTAGGGGTCATCTATTTTTGCCTCTCATAGTTACAAATAGCCCTCTATAAGACTCTACATCTGAAAACAAATGCCCTCAGGAAAGTTGTTTGTAACGAATTCAAAGTTGTGGATATATATGTTGTGCTGGATAGAGTAACTCTTAAAACTCTTTTACTCTTACAGAGCACCTGAATGTGTCTTTTCATTCATTCAGATCTAGATCAATGTACTACTATCTATATACACTGCTTTTTTATCTACTCTATTGACCTTCTTTATCAATTTGCCTCAATCATTGACAAAAACAGAAATATTTTCAATAGCAGTCAACAGAGAAATATTCATGTTTCTTACCGAGGCTGAAATCCCGCCAAGACAACAGGAGGGACATGGTGTATTAAAAAAGTGAATATTTCATCCAGAAGAAAAGTTCCTGTATCCACAAAGTAAGTCCAAAGTGACAGGCGTGGAGCTTCAGTGCAGTCCAGTACGTGGTGGATGTGTCTGTATTCTCAGAGCCTTGGCCGTGTGTTGTCTTACTCCATGTGCCTTTAGTTGTGAGGTGGAGCTCCATGGAAAGTTAATATAGGCCAGTCAGGAGAGGGGAGGAGACTGCTCTGTTTATGGTTCGGCTTGCCAGTGTGTCAAATCCGCTTGGGTCTTTTGCCACCACCTTTCCCAGTTTCCCCGTTGTGCTATCTCCCTCTTTCCTCTAGTTTAAACGACATTTACACTTTTTAAATATATATGGTCTGCTCTTTTCTCTCAAAAAAAGGGGAAAAAGCAGGAATTTGGAAGCCTGGCTGGTTTCTTATGCTTTCATTCTTAAATATACCACTTCAAACCAAGGAAATCATCAAATATTCGCTGTTTTTAGTTAAGAAAAACATCTGAATCACATTTTTGTTACATGAAAAATATGCAGCTGCCCATGCAGATATCTTGTTATTGTGTTTTACACTCATTGGCATCGCTGTTTTCCACAGAACAGATCTGGCACAGGACGACTCTTTAATGTGTTTGTCCTCCGAAGGTGAGTCTCCAGGCTTTACTGCTCACTTTAATGGTCAGCATCAGTAGGGGGTTCATGAAGTTGTGCATTTACGTAAGCCAGCCAACAGCAGTTGCCTGTTTTCCTCTTTTCTTGCTTCACAAACGGCCAGTTCGGCCCGTACTCTCTGACTCTGGGTCTGCTGAGCTCTGCCTGTGAGACTGGTCCTTCTGGCAGAACCTGGCATCTCCATGGTCCGCATGTTTGGACCGCACAAGCGTGCGTGCTCGCATATTTGTTTGATATTCAAACCAGACTTGTGCAGGGTCTGGGCTTGCGGTATGTTATCAAAATATTGGAGCTGTTTTGTGAGGATATGAGGGCTGGCTTTGGGTCTTGCATTGTTTGATTGTTTTTGCTCCGTCAAAGACATGATTCTGTTTCCTCTGACATTAAATGATTGTTTGTGATGCACACAGAACATATTTTGTCAGATTGTACACGACTTCCATGAATAGGAATCCACTGTATGCTGTGTTCACTGGCTAAACGTTGCCCTTTGATTAATTATTGATCACCCTAATGATTACCCTATATGAGTAGAGCTGAAAAACCTTATATAACACAACTTACGGAAGCAAGGCGACCTTATCCCAGATAAGCAGTTAGAATGACTGGTACTGATCTATGATGCTTCCTCTGTGTCCCCCTCCCAGTGTCTGCTCTTATATAACACTGTCTCACTGGACCTAAAACCAAGGTGCAGAACAGCTCCGAACGGAGCTGGAATTTTTTACACCTTTGTGAGCGTCCACTTGACACACATATAGGAACTATATTCTTCATACACACCCTGCCTGCTTCAGATGCCGCGCAACTTTGGTATTTCACATTGTTGTGAAAGAGGCCTACGCAGAGAAAGTGCAACAGGACGTTCTGCACTGCGATTGTTCTCCAGTGCAGGGGGGGGGGGGCAAAGGTGTTCACGTAATGAAATATGGGGTTTGATCCACTATATGCAAAGGTGACAATAAAAAGTAAAACCTCCAAACGGATCCAACCGGTTTGAAGTGTTCTCCGACTCATGTCCACTTCCGTTTTTCTTCCATTAACTTACAGTGGAGTGGATGTTTCACCTCGAGCTTTCTGTTCCAGGATGTTCAACTCCTCCTACGTCTGCGTGGCAAAGGTGAATTAAGGGTAGTAAGTAATAAGGAAACAATTTGATTAAATAGATATCTCATATGTTGACGCCCAGGTCCAAATGCTGTGTCCGGCTTTGCAGAATTTACTGTAAAATCCACATTTGATGAGAGAAAAAAATATATATATATATATCTGTAATGCTGCCACAAAGACTCAGAAGCCTGTTGGCTGATTTTCCTTTTTCATTGGGTGATGTACACTTTAATCCGGATATGGAGACATTGGACCAGTATCAGATGCACACACGATGTGCTTGTTAGTTCAAGTGACAACAAGAATGCATCACCATCTAATGCTGGAATTCTGATGCCAGTGATGAATGTTCCTCTGCAGATTTGTGCTAATGAGGGAGGGGGTGCTGTGACCAGGGTCTAATTATAACATCAATGGCATGACCAAAAGGTGTGTCAGGTTTTAAAAGCTGCAAAGTACCAGGAGATTTAGAAAAGAGCAGGCCTCCACTGATCAGCATGGCGGCAGATTTGGAATCTTTGACCTATTTTAACAGCATCTCTGAATCACAAATCTTTTTGTGTGCAGGGAAATGAGACTGGAATGAGAGACAAGACACGACCATCTGCCTTTGGTTTGCTGTCTTCTCGCCATCTGTGAGTGAAGGATCCAAAGACCTCCAACCCTCTGTGACAGTGTGCGCGTGTTGGAGTACATCTACTCACCATGAGACCCAAAAGAATCCCTCTTCGTTAGATTTCTCTGTATTTTTCAACACAATTTCACCGTTAGAAAATGTCCTGATGGTTTGTTATTGCGCTGACAAAAGCAGAGCTGGGTTAGTTGTCACAATAAAAAACACACAATTTATTTCTGTATAATTTTATTGTAAAAAATTATACATATTCATTTTGAATGGTGCAAATTTTTCAGCTCCCCGCAGCTTTGATCAGTAGTTTAGATTTTTTACCTTTGAGATTGTTCAAAGGTTTGTGCTTTTTGAGACTATTATCTGAATAACTACAAACCAAACGATCACTAATTAACACAAAGCAATCACTGTTTAATATAATGTAACAATAAATTATGTGTGAGATCAGCCGGCCCAGGATTTTTTGTTATTACGCATTTCGAATCCTCTGAATGCTTAGTGGTGTGATGTAACTTGTTTTGGTTGTTCTTTGCTCCGAAACAAAAGGCAAAACAGCTCATTTTCGGGATATTCTGAAAAGAATGATTAAATGATGTGGCAGGTACAAAGTGTATATTGTGTGCGCGCTATGTGTTTGATGTGATTAGTTTTGTTTGTATGGGGTCAGAGATAAAACTGGCTCCTTGGTCATGATGTAAGAGGATCAGAGGCTTTGGACTCGGAAGGTTTCTTAATGGGACTTTTCAGAAAAAAAACTTTCACTGTAAGTAGAAACATTCCTTAATTCTCCTCAACAGGTTCAGCAAAAATACATGTAAACAAAGCTACTGTTCTCCTGGCCCTAAATTCGTAACAACTGAACAGCAAATATATAATAGAGAAAAACTGTTACAGGAGCAACTTTAGTTGCTTTTTTAACTATAAATCAGTCTTTTTTAAATGGAAATTTTTAACCAAACCTTCTGGTTCCAGGCTAAGGTCTTTGAGGCTAATAGACAGACCGGAAAAAATTCTTTCAAGCAATAAAATCAGAACAGTTACCAAAAAGGAGGTCAAAGTTAGCGGTTGCCTCACATTTCTTTGCTTGATAGAACAGAACCTGCCTGTATGTTGTCTGTTAAAGACCATAAAACTCTAAAAAAAGAATCCGCTGGAACATGCTGTCCACCCGTCACTATGGGAATGATCAGGTCAGTGATCAATTAGCCAATACCGATAGCTGCTGTATAGCACACCTGCAATTTAAAAGCTCCGGATTATATCTGAATATATTACATCCACAAGGTCTTTTCACTCATAATATTTGGCCTTCAAATAAGATCGAGGACATCTTGTGTCACTATTATCAGCACTCTGCTTTCTGAACATTCATCAGTCCTGATTTGTTTTGATGTTTTTACACTTTATATCAGACTTTTTTTTCCTCTGAGTTTATAAATCGCTAATAGTATATTTACATGTAAACACTCATGCAAAAGAGTTTAAGCCGTCTGGTATTTGATTCGGCGTCCCACGATGACATAACTTTGTTATCATCCCTCCTCTCAGAATTTCCATCATGTAGACATGTTTTCTGTCGCTGACTTTGGCAGCTCTCAGGATTCCCTAACAGATCAAGCCTCCTATCGCACATCAGGCAAGGCAAGTTTATTTGTACAGCACATTTCGTGTACAAGGCAACTCAAAGTGCTTCACAGAGAATTTGAAAGCAAGAAACAAGAGAAGAAAAATAATAAAAATTGGATGAAAAGTGAAGGGTGCAGATTAGATGCATTCAATTTCCATATGCACAGTTAAACAGAAGCGTTTTCATCCTGGATTTTAACATTTTCAGAGTCGAAGCCTGTCTCACATCTTCGGGAAGACTGATCCAGATTTTAGGAGCATGGATGTGAAACAAAGCTTCACATTGTTTTTTATGACTCTGGGCACCAGGCAGTATGCATATGTCTGATGGTCTTTTATTATTTTTTTTTACAGTGTGTGACATAAGTGCTGAGCAGAAGCACTCTTCATTAGTCACAAATGATTCTAAAACTTACTCGTATTGCTCAGGAGTTGGGCACCATCTCCTTTCAATTTCCCGTTAGCTGAATGAGTCTTGCAGACAGGATGGCGTGCTGATGAGGGGGTATTAATGAGCCTGTGCGGATCACTTCCGGCCGGCAGCATAACAGTTTCTGGCCTGTGTTTTAAACGTGGCAGAAGTGGGTGAAAACCTTCCTCAGCTTTGGCTCGGGGCGTCTGTCGCTGCGGGGTCAATGCAGCGCTGGAGCAGGGGGAAAAAGCACACAGTGTTCAGTCCTATCAGCAGAGTGGCAGCTCTAATGGAGAGCCCTGTCCGGCAAATCTTGGCCTGACCCTGCCCGCCTGTCACCAGAGTCAGCTCATCCACGGAAACCACTTATTGGATGGAAAAGCGTTTCACAGTGCACTGCTCGGACAGACTCTCCGCATCTCTGGTATGGCATGATTCATCGTGTGAGATTAATCCTTTCAAAGACACCAAAGTTTAAAAGTAAACAGGCTTTTTTTCCTCAGAGGCCGTTAACGTGGCTTTGAGAGTGGGATTTTCCAGTCACACGATAAGCGAGTCTGGGGCGGGTCCATCGACCAGCCTGAGTAACGCATCAATCATTAACTCGGGGCTACTATAGCATGATGTGATTGAAAGGCGGAAAAAAACACATGGACGCATCCTATCAGGAGGGGCACTGGACTCAGGTTTTGTTTTTGCGATAACATGTAATCCTGTACCGCGGAATGCTGCAGCTCCCGGACCCCCGAGGTTTTGTGTTCGTTGGGTAATCCGGAGAGTTTTGTTTGTGTTCATGTGTGTTTTCCCAGCTGTACTGCGCACTCCACCGTACACCCCAAGTGTGGGCTGACGGGTTGGAAAAAAAGTTATTCAGTGGATAAGGTCACTGCAGTTCAGCTCATCTTTACTCCTCTGCAGTACTGAGGAATATGTTGTATAATCAGAAAAAAAATGCAAATGACATGGGGCTGGGGCTTTCCTCTGCCTCGGTTTAAGTCTTCTGTGCTGCCTGCACAATTCAAATAAGGAAAGGATTAGATTGAGAGATTGAGCATTGCAGAATCACCTCAAATTCCCTTTCGGAGCACATCATTATTTAGGCTTGGAGGGACTGTATCTGGCTTCCTCCGTTATGTAAGAGCAAATGACAGAGATGGCCTTGCCGGCCCTTTTCGCTCGTGATGCCCCGCTGAACCATTTCTCTCTGTCCGAATGAACACACGTCCTGTGATGTCAGAGCCTGACTGCTCCACTAATGACTAGACAGATCGATACCGCAGTCAGCGTGTGTGAATGTGGAATTGTGCATGGGATGTTCTATTTATAGCAGCCGACGAACGAGTGGCTGCACACTTGCACACGAATCCAGTGTGGAGTTGACAAGTCAGGACTCATTAGACCTCTTCCAACACACTTAGCCATAGGCTTGATTTGATATAGAGACATTCAAATCATTTCCCCCATCATCTTCTTCACGTTTTAACTGGCTTTTTGGTCACAGCCTGGCAATTTCTAAAATTTTGTGTGCTTGCTTTGAAGCTTGTGTGCTTAAATTCCACCTCCAGAAGGGATCCGGTTCAGGCTAAAAGCAGCCAAATCCAACTTACCAGCCTCTAAATCGTCCTTATGAGCACAGGATATGTGGTTTGTATGATATACGAGAACATCTGTTTGTCTGAAAATTAAAACAGAAAATCCAATTTCTCGATTGCAAAGGTAACCAGGGCAACCATTATTTCATTTCAAATTGCATTCTCTATCCCAAAAACATTTCTCTTGAAGCTTTTTGTCTTTTATAGGACTGGGTTTATGGTCCTGAACCATATCAGGGTTGAAACAAATAGACTCATTAAAAACGGGAAAAATTAATAGTGATCTTATTGCAGAACTCATTTCAGTCATGCATGAGCAACTCAAATCTGTAGGCTGAGGTTCCCGTTTGAACACTCAGAGCAGAGGAGATAAGAGAAACTTATGTTGCTGCTGCAGAGAGCAAAGTTTAATGTAGAAAATACGAAAACAGGACAAAGACAGTTTGCCGGTCCTGGTTTTCTTTAAACCCCAGACTATGCATCTCATCAGGTCTTTGCCCGTGGTGTTGTTCTTCGTGTTTCCATGATTTGTTCTTCTAATGATGATGATATGCAGTTGTTTTGTACTTTATGATAGCTGCTGAGAAAGGGATTATAGTATAGTCCAATGGGATTCAAACCAGAGGGGGAAACCCGTGCAAACAGGCTTTGTTTAGCCTTTTGTGAGCGCCCGGGGCTCTTTCACGCTATTTGCTGTTCAATGAATAATATCTTTCATCTTTTTGAGCGAGGAGCATGTCTGTAGAGCAGACACAAGCTTTAGGAATAAAATTGATCTTGAAAACGAAATGGGAAGGCACTCACGAGAGGAAACATATAAATCTGTGCTTCAATCTATGCAAAAAAACTGAGAGCGGTTCACGATGATCTAATATTGTTCATGGTAATAAAACAAGAGAAGTTTTTCATTTTTAATTATTGTTTGCATGTTTTATTATAAATGATGCACTAGTTATAAAACTTGTAAATCGTTTCCAAATTGCTGTTTGTCCATAAATAAAGGGGGGCAGAGAAAGAGACGTTTTATTTAAACAGACTGACTACAGACTCCAAACAGTTTAATGCCAATACAATTCCTGCTATGCTTGAACATCAACAAGCTGAATCTCCAGAGCTAACTTTTTCTCTGGAGTACCAGTGAGGACCTGAGGGCCCTGCACAATAAACACTGAGAGTCAACAGAGACCCACGTGAGTACGCAGGGTCTGCTGTTTGCTTTTTCCTTGCGTGTGAGGCTTTAAAAGAATCCTCCTTTTGTCCAAATATCCGTCGGGTGTACGTGCCTCCGACTTTACATTAAGCGTGAATTGATGAATGAGGGAATTCAGAGCCAAGAAACGTCTGATCTTATGGCGGGTTCTGAGTCCAGAGACTCTTCTCTGCTAAAAAAAAGGGGGCAAGGCGCCACGTGCGGCGAGGCACAACTCCCACGTTCCCCTCACACGTAGCCCTCATACGGGGAAAGGGGTCACACACATGACCCACTGAACAGAGTGTGCGTTCTGCACATGCAAACATGAACACAGTCATAACACAGCCCTCAAACTGTGAAAACACACCCTCGACACACTGCCTCA